AAACATCACATAATTGTGGACATATAACACATTATCCAGATTCTTAATTACGATTAGATTAGTAGTAATTGTTTAAAGGGCAAGTTAAACAATGATATTGATCATAATTAAGCTGACAATTCAAACAATCAGAAGAACAATATTTTACACAAAATCTTTATATATCAAATGAATAACTATCTTTACATTCTACTTGAAATTCAAAAATATTATAGTAAATATATGATCTTTAGTAAAAATATTAGTTTGGTAAAAATTTCATCATAAAACTTTAAACTCTTTAAACCCAAGCATCATAGATTTATTGATCTCCATCAATAACTATTTTTGCATTAATATGTGAATTTGGATAACAATTTCCTAATTTTATTGAACTTGTGAATCCACTTTTACAAATAATACATTTGATCACAGATTAAGGAGTGAAAATACATTATAAACAATTTTAGATTATCGATTCACAATTAATTATTTCTGGTGCTATATTAAAATCAGTCTATGATAATGTACAAATCTCCTAATTCTAAATATTGATAAATGATCTTAAACAATTAGGTAATGATGGCTTTTTGTATAAACATTAACCAATAGTAAAATCAAAAATATAATTTTATTCACAAAGTGCACATCCAATATCTAATTATTCATCTGCATCAAATTTTTTAAAGTTTGCATATAATGTACATTAACTTAAATCATTTTTTACATATTCAAAACAATATTTGCAATTTTTAATACTGCATAATTTACATTCTCCATTTGAGGATATATAATATGGATTAAGACAAGGTACTCCATTTAAGGGATCTTATATACAAATTCCATTTCTTATTTCCATAGCCATATAACATTTAATACATACTAATTAAAATAAATTTATAGAACAAACACCACAATAATCAATATTGCATTCATAATGATAATTTTAATCAAACTTTAATTAATTTTATTTCTTATTAATTTAAGCAAAGGATTTAAATCCATTTATCAATGATTAAAAGTCTTCAAATATATTTTCAATATTTGCCAAAGATTATCTATTACAAAATCTACAAATTTATAATTCTAAACCATTGAAAACATAATATTATTATTCATCATCAGATATAATTCTTGCTGTGTTTCCATTGGGATTTATATATACTGATTTTTAACAATATGGATTTTAATTCCAATCTTTTGAATTTTGAAGGCATTCTAAACAAGTTATCTATTAATCAGTAATAGATGTAGGACTTATATATAATAAATATATACCAATAATAACACTAATTATCGAATTAAAAATAACCAAAATTACATCCAATTTAATTTTATAAAGGATTAATATCAAATTATAAATCAGTATACGATCTACAATTTTAATTAACATAATCATCTTAATAATTATATGGACAAACACATGCTTTATGATTTGATAAATATATTCTTTTTGATTATTAAGAACATGATAAACAGTCTGTTTAAGTTGGACCATCACAATCTTAACATGTATAATGACAATTTTATTATTCTAATTCTTAATGACAATTATAAAATATCATATTTCTAGTTTAAATATTGAGATAATTTTAAGTAGATTCCTATAGATTTCCATATTATAATTTGTATTAAACATTTCGAAATTATTTGACAATAATTATAGTTGAGTATTCAAATTTTTCATATTCATTAAAAAAAATAATTTTTATTTACATTTAATCAGATATTAAATTAACAAACAAATTATGCCATAGATTTATTGAATGAAATAGTTCAAATTCATAAGGAATTAAAAAATTATTATCCTTATTACTAAAATCTAAAGTAACAGATGGAAAATTGTAACTATAAGTTGTAATCATTATTTTATTATTATTAGGAGATATCTTATAGAAAAATTAAAATGGTGATAAATTTTAATTGGACAATTATTCCATCTCAAAATTTGGCAAAATCTACATAAATTGATAAATAAAATCATCTTATATTTATTTTATTTATATAACTCTAAACCAACAATCTAAAATAAATGAATCTGTATTAATATTTTCAGAAGTATAAGTTTATATATCCAACCAAACTAAATCTTTATCTAATAATTTTTTATATTTGTTTTCAAAACAAATAACTTCAGAAACTTAATCAAAAAAGATATAAAAATTGTTTATATCAATTTCAAAAGGAGACAAATAAGCAACAATATCACCAAAGGTTACAAAATACATACTTCCTGGAAAATATGAAAATTTTGATCCAACTTAAATTGAATCTATATATGAATTTGTTACAGTAAGTCCACCCCCAATAGTTATCAGCAAATTTTTTTCATTCATTAAATTAACATCTAATTTCTAATGTAATAAATATTGATCTTCCTTAACCATAATTATTTCAAGTTTATTCAGAGAAGGCCAGTATAAAAGTTGAAAAAAATACCAAATATTTTCATATTCTGATGGCTCAATATCAACCTAATGTATATATTGTTCACCATTAACACTAACGTAAGTAAGAAATCTCTGAATAGTCTTTGTTTCAGGATAAAGACAATCATAATATATTAAAAATACTCTTTGGGAATTTTATCCCATAATATTTTGATAATGAAAGCAATTGCTATCCATTAATCCAACTGGTCCTACTTATTATGTTATACTTAATGGATTGTACTTAGTCCAAATTCCATAGAATATCCCCTGATTATTTAGAAAATCTACATCGACATCTATCATCCTTGTTGATAATTAATAAAAAGGATCCATGAAATGCAAAGACAATGAATATAGCATATTTAGCAATTACAAGAAATTTAAAATCCAATATATCTTCATTTATTTAATTACTATGATTTTAGTTTTTATTAAATACGATAAAAATATTAGTTTTATAATTAAGAATTAAAATAGCATATTTGTTAAAAAATAATCATAATATTACTTTAACTAACATATTTCTTCTTAATTTCTATCTAATTCTAAATAATATATTATATAAATGACAAGCAGTAGTATTATAATAATGAAATAAGAAAGGATAGATAAAAAATCAAAATAAAGTGATTCGAGAAAATCACTTATTTTCTATTTTTTATAGCATTATATTATCATTTTTTATTTTGATTAGTCTAAGCAGCACAAAAGTAAAGAAAAAATAAAAAATATGTGATTTAAAAAAATATATTTTTTCTAACAAAATTTACTGAATTATCTAATAACATGACTAAAGTATTAGATTTTTAATATCTATATAAATTAGAATTTGTATATTCAAATTAGATGAATTGATGATTGTTCTTTTTTTTATTAATATTTATTATATATAAATTTCTTTATATTAATCAAAGCAAATTAGAGAATAAATAAATATTTTCTCTACATTGTTATTTTAAGATATACTAGGAAGCAACCATCCATAACTTCCAGCATTTTCCTCAAACCAAAATGTTGATAGAAATGTATATATCTCAGTTGGGTATGCATTATCGTGAAATTCTTAAAAATCAGGATGTGTATATCATATCTGTCATAATCATCTTTTGATCTAAATTTATAACTCAGTTGTGGATAAAAAAATATTATCAATTTGGAAATTCATTACATAAATTCCTTTCACATAATCAATTTCATTTTTATACATCTTGATAAGAAATTAATATATTCATTATTATTTAATCATTATTATCAATGCAATACTCTCTTATCAGTATTTAATTATTATGCCATCACAACCATATATTTTCCTACTCATTTTTTGAAGCAAATGTTATAAGGATTACTTATTTATACATAATCTTTTTATTATTTATAAAGATATTATTATCCTGAAATCAAATCCAATCTGTTAAATATTGGTATGATTAATACGAGAATGATATTATTTAATACATCATTAATCACATGATTATTGAAAAACCTTTAAAAAATATATTTGTCTCAAAGTAAATCAATGATAATATTTTCTTCATTAATTTTATCCATTCCCAAAAGAGCACAAATTCCTCGCATAATATGGCCAAATTTAACAATACCATTCCAGATTTCAAGTTGATATGATTAGAAGACACTTTGTATCATTTTATGTTACAGAATAACATCTTATTTGGCAGTTTAATTTTTAAACAGAATCAATCAATTAATATTGGAACTTAAATTTATTTTTATATTATTCTTTTTTTAAATAAAAAATGATATTAGTAATAAATTAGCAAAAGAAAAAAGATTAGTGAGTATATTATAATTTCTTGTACTTCTACACACCTTACTAAAATTATTCAAGTCTCAATAAAATCTTTAAACAGCACATTATAAAATAAAAATTAGTTCCAAAATATATATTAAATATTGACAAATTGTAAAAAATCCATCTAAGAAGATAAAGATTTATAAATATTTGGTATATTTGATTATTAATTTCAATGTCTTTCTACCAGTATTCAAATTATTCAATACCATCGATGAGATATAATTTACAGATAAGACTTAACTGCAATCAAATATATATGAAGAGTATCAGTTAATAAGAGCAAATAGCTAGAAATTATATATAGATATTAATGTATAATGAATTATATTATAGATCTGTACCAAAATTTAAAAGAGTATAATTAAATTATCTATATCGAACAACATGTATAATAAATAGTTGAAATTGGTTTCTCTTCTTTTATATTTTTTTTAAATCATACAGAAAATTATCAATATTTATAGATTTATCGACTTTTCTATTTATTTCTAATGGTGTTAATTTTCAAACTCTTCATAAATATCATTAGATTTAATTCTTTTAATGTATCAATAACTATTTCAATTATTTTTTCATTTTGAATTGTAACTTTAGTAAATTATCAATTTGATAGGAAATCATTTTGAACAAATATCTTCAAAAGTCAAGAAAATCCAAGAAATCCAGAGTTGAATATGAGTAAAATTTTCTTCAATTTTATTCCAAAATTTAAATTCAATTTCTTTATCAAACTATGTACTTCAAATATTTCATTATAATCAACTTACTAAGAGTGTTCATATTAATTATTTGATACCAAAAGTTTTTTCTATTGTTACTGATAAATTTATATTAAGGGCAACAACTTAAACTACTATATCCATCATAAAAGGAGTTACCATCAATTTATTTAAATTGATTTATCTTATCATTTTGTCATACTTTTTAACGCTCCACAGTTTTTGTAAATTTAAGCTCAGACTTCTTAAAGCATCATGACTTTTAAAGATATAAACTTATTATTCTAAAAAAAACGATGAATATAGTTTATTTATTTTTAATTCAACAGATTTTCCCCTATCAATGATATTTCTTTTTTTATAAATAACTATAATTGATCTCAAAAAATTTCAACTTTTCGATATCAATCACTTTTCTCTTTTAAGTTTGTGTTTACTAATTCAAAAATCAACATTTTAACACTCTAAATTAAAAAATTTTCTAGATATTCCTATTGATTGAGAATTCAATTTTAGAAGTTTGATTTCTTTTAATATATTCTTATCTTCCGGTTTAAACCACACAGAATAATTTCTACTTATCAATTTCCCTACTTTTTGTAAAAATTATAATTAGGTTTTACCAATTCTATTTAAGTTTATTATTAAGATATAAGTTTTTCTTCATTTCATCATAATTGTCCATTACCAATAGGAATAGGAATTCTTTTTTTTCTAACTTCTCTTTACATTCTTTCAATTAAAGCTCATCCAAACCATACTGATATTGATAAAGTGCTTCCTATACTTATCATCAAATTTCTTTTTAAATCCACGAAATTTTCTTTTAAATCATTACTGTTTAATTGATTGGCATTTGAAAAAATTTTAGGTCTTGATAAATAGATGCTTTCAATAATTTAATAAGTATTTCAATCTAACTGAATAGTTATTCTACAACTTGAAAATTTTCTTAGCAGTTAACTTTTCCTAATTATTACAATAACGTCACATAATTTTCTTTCTAAATATTCAAATAATTTTGATTCTGATTTTCATTATTGATAATTTTTAATGAAAATTCTATTGAAAAATCGATTAGATTTTTGATACTTCTTTCAGTAAGACTTAAAGGATCAGGTTTCTTCTATTAACAGTTCTCCAAATTCCTTTTCAATTGATTGTAAATTTATTCTTTACAAGTCAATCATTTATTCTACTAAAGATTATATAAATTCAAGATAATCTAAATTTTCTTTTTATTTTATTAAATTATTTTAATAGTCTTGTTCAGTAAATTATAAGTCATTTACTTTTTCAATAGCTTATTCTAAAATTGAATTGTCACAGCAAATTATTTCTTTTGGATATTTCCTAACTATTATAAATCGAAAAATATAGAATATTTTTTAATTTTTTAAATATGTTTTGAAATGGATTGCATTTTAAGAATTATAAATTATTGGACTAAATGATGAATTTCAAGATTATTATTATCCATTTATAAACCTGCAAAATATTTTTTTGATTTCCCCTGTCTATTGGAGTTGAGATCTAATCTCGATACAATCTAGAAGAAGATGAAGATGAAACTTGTATATATATATGAGTGTGTTATTTATGAAATGAGGACAATTCGTACTGATGCTCCAATGCCTATGAGCTTTAAGAAGTGCTCCTCAACTTTTTTCTTACTTTTTTTAATAATCTCTTATATTTTAAATTTTGAGCTGTGTATAGCTCGATGCCTGCTCTTAGCCTTTTTGTATGTGCTCTTTTTTGTAATGTCTTCTTATAATTTCCTTCATGAAATATAACATATTTTGAGAAAAACATAAGGAAAGAAAGAGTTTTCTACTTTACTAAATGCTATGGTGAATCTAAATCCTTTTTCTTAGACTTGAAAATAATAGACTCGATTTCTCACAATTCAAAAATAAGAGTAATTGATAATTTCAAACTTAAAGGCATGACTCTCAAATTTACAAGAGAACAATGAGGAAAGAATAAATAATTCAAAGCTATTATTTGAACAATTTTATCTTTTATTGCTTGAGATGGCTTTAAAAAATTGCAATCGGAAAGGAGGTCTAAAAATTTAAGAATTTGGGGCACTTAATAATTGTTTTACTCATATTAACCTGAGTTAAATGCAAAGAATCTCTTATCTCAAATTTAATATCTCTGTTGTTTGTTACGAATTATTTATTATGATTGTTGCTTTCACTTCAGTAATGCATTGGATATATACCTACTTCAATTAATTTTTGAGAAATAAGGCTTTAAAAGAATGATAATTTTTTTTGATTAGTAAGACTTGACTTTTTATGAGATAACCTTTGATCAATTTCTTTTAGGTGTAAGTTATTATCAATAAATATATTGGAACTCCTTTATTCTTTTTACAAAATCAAAACAGTGGTGTTATTCAATTTAATTCTATAAAGTTAATATCCAAAGAAGATTGATGATTCATTCAAGATTAAGGAATTACTTACAATGACTAAGTAATCAATAAACACCATAATTTGGAATTATTGGTATTAAGTTTAACTACTATTTGCAGATTTTTAATAACTGAAAAACTAGTATTCTGCCTATTGATTTTTAATTATTATATTCATTCAAAATTATCTTTCAACTGATCTAATTATTTTTATTTAGATAAGATATAGATATAGAAATTCAATTATTAATATTCAGGTATTATTCCTTCCATAATTTAAGATTTCTTAATTGTAATCCTCATTTGTATTATTTATTTCCTAAATAAATTAATATTAGTTATAAACTTAAATAATTTAATTTGTTAATTCTCTAATTTATCAAAAAACTGAATAAATTTTTATTAACAGTCTTGTGCCCCATTGTGCTATTTTTTATTTATGATTAAGTTTTGATCTTTTTGTGTTGGACAGTGTGATTTGATATGTATTCATTAGATATAGTTTAGCAATTCCATTAGGAGATACAAAACTCAAAGTTGTATTTTGTGTTCTTAACAAATATATTTTTATAATCTTCTTTCATATTTTATATTAATAATATTTAAATATTATTTATTATGTTCAGAAATTTAGTAATATTATACAAACGCAATTTATTATTTATTTATCATATTCTTTTTACGTATCTAGTTTTATAAATCAGTGTGTCTATATGTGGCTAGGTAATTAATAAATACTTAGAAGAGGAAAGGAACTATTTTATTTAAATTTATATTTAATAGAATAAATTATTTTATCATTTTCAAAATATGGTCCCAAAATTTAAATTGATGAATAAAAAAAGTAGGGCAACTAATTACTTTTTTTTGTGAATTAATAAAGATAGTAATTTAATTTTTTTATTTATTGTAATTATTTGTGAATCAATTATGTCAAATTTGGATAAGAATTAGAGATATAAGCTAATTATAAATAATTAGGAAATAAATTGACAGAATTTAAAATTTTAATTTGAAGAATATATTGTTTTTTAACAAATAATTTAATATTTTGGATAAATGAAGAAAAGAATATAAAAAATAATTGATTAACTAGATTTTTATTCTATTTTATATTTTTATGAAAAATGAAATGAATTAACATTAACTCAAGAATAATTATAAAATCATTTCATATTAGTTTTTTTTAAATATATCTAATAGAATATTTTTTTATCTTAAAGTTGTGAAGATCTTCCTCTTAAAATTATTATTAATATTAAATAACTTATGCTAGCTCATCGACATAAAGTAGATTATCCACCTAAAGGAGGAGTCAATAAGGGTTAAATCATCCCATTAAAATGTAGCTGTCCTCCTGATTGTTAATGCAAATCTTCTGAAATAAGAAATTGGCATCATAAACCATGTTCTGATTAATGTTTCATTAGTTAATATGGTGATATATTTTGTAAAAATCACTTAAACGATTGCGATGGGTATTTCATCAAAGATGCTTCTTTTTAATGCGCTGCAGCTAAATAAGCCAACACTTGGAATTAATTTAGAGCAGCTTCATAATTTTTAATGGCATTAGCTTAAGGTGTTCAAGCTGCTGAAATCTCCCTTGATTAAGGCAATGCAGTAATCACATTTATAGCTAGTTTAAATACAGAAGTAGTAAGGAGATGGAATTAATGATTTTTAAACAATTAATCATCAAATATTAAATTAAAATATCTTATTATAATAAGTAGTAAACATATTATAACTAATTATATTCATCTTATTAAAATTATAATATCTTTTTTGTATTTTAAATTTAATAATTGTAAAGAAAGAATCAATATCAAACAATATATTGTAATACTTCAATTTAACTTAAATATATGTAATTGATTTATTATTAAGAACTATACATGGAAAATATTTCAATCAACTTGTAAATTATTTGATCACACTTAATTTAAATAATTCATTATAAAATATGAAAAAAAAAATTGGATTAAAATAGTCTAATATATAAATAATATTATTTTATTGAATATGATAAGGTTTTAAAATAAATTATATTAATAAATCATATATATACATAACTATATTATGAGAAATTAAAGTCTTAGTTATTTTCAACAATAATTAATTTTTATGATACTGTATATACGGATTTAAAAGTAGAAAAAACAACTAGACATTAAAGAAATTATGATAAATATAGCAGAACTTGAAATTAAACTTAAATGCCTTCTTTCAGAATCTTAAATCTAAAACTGTATCCAGTATTAGAAACCTTTAGTATTCTTTTAGAAATTATATACAAATTAAGAAATGGATCTACCAATTTACATTTAATTTTCGTGCAACAATAATTCAAAAATTTTTAGTTCCATATTGTCTTAATTCCACCTATAAGTAGATTTGAGTGCTGTACTTTAAAAAATGATTTCTTTGTAAGTGAAATAATAAAAAATCACAGATCCAAATGCATCTCTATAATATATGGGGGTTTAAAAATTAAATATTTAAATACTCAAATTGCCAATTTAATGTCTTTATCATTTTGAAGGTCTACAACTTTATCAAAATATGTGGTATTGATTGATGATCTTAATTCTCATTAAAATGATTTTAAAAATATCTCAAAGTTAAACAAGTCATGCCTATTCTTCCAAAAGATTATATCAAAATGACTAATTACAGTCTTTATTGTTGTATTCATTCAATTTAATGTTTATTTAGATAAAGTACAAAAAAGTAGTATAAATATTGCAAATTCCTTATAAAATAAATTTCGTTACTCCTTCTTTACTCTCCTTTTCTTGTTAAATTTAGTATTCTCATAGAATATTTAGTTTAATTTTCACATGCATTGAATAATCAGTTCATATACTTTTTTAAAATATTTATATTTCAAAATTAATTAATATGATTTTTTGTATTTTACAGTATAGTCTAATTAGGTTATCTTAAAGAATATAACTAACTATTGTCAATTACTAATCCTCTTTTTCAAAATTAAAAAATGGACTCAAAGCCTTTATAAAATTTTTCACAATAAATGAGGTTTGAATTTGGCTCCATAAAATTCTAGAAATTTTATGTTGTCAATCCAATTAAACGTAATCTAGGGTAAAATTAATAATAATATATATCAGAAAGGCAAAAAATTTTAGAACTAAAATGAACAAGGAAATTCCACCATTATATAATTCATTTAATCCTCATTCATACATAAACACTCTAATAATGATTGTTTAGATTAATTTAGAGTTTCTATTTTTTCTCAAATATATAAAGAATAATCGTATTATGCAAAGGTAAATAGAATATGGATTCAAATTAATAATCATTTATCTTACTCAGAATGCTTTCTATATTGATTCAATGATCCTTAATGAATTTAGAGTATTTTGATCTTGTTTAATGACATTTGAAATACAATCATATACCTTATTCCTTATACTATTTTGATTGTTTAAAATAGAGCAAAGTTACTTGCTTTTCAAATTCATTTATTATCCAATTAAAACAACTCTAAGGTTGATTAGAATCTAATCAACTCGCATCTTGAAACTTAAACTACTTATTATTTTCAATAATCTACAGTTTCTCAACAAAATTATTATGCTGTTAAAATCTCTTCTAATACAAATAGCGTCAAATATTTCGTACTAATCAGCCAGAGTAAGTTAAGATAATAGTTTCTAAGAAAAAAACTGATGTTGTACATCTTTGAAATGATAATTTTTATTGTATTTCGATATCTCACATCTTTGATTGATAGAATCCTTGAATTGAATTGATTAGTTCGTATTCTATTGGTATTAGGATTTTTGTATTAGTCGATCATCCAAATACATTTTTATATATATAGACAAATGAATCTCTGACCATTAACTAATTATCTAATAGTTTATATAATGATCTTAAAAAATTTGATCTTTATTTCTCTTTAAATTCTTTCAAGATTCATCTGCGTCCTTTCTAATAAATGTCTCAAATTTGAGTTCTTCTCAGTGTTATTATTATTTTAAGCAGGTGTTTAGGTTACATTCTTAATATTATCAAAAGAGCCACTCTAATATTAACTTTTTAGTTCAAACTATTAAGACTTAATTCCAATTTTGTATTACTGAATTATTAAGATGAGTTGATTAAATTTGAAGTAACTCTTATTCACTTAATTTAATAAGTAATTGAGCTATCATGATATAATTATAATGCATATATATATATCATTTAATAACTTATAATTCCTATTTTTCTAAATATTTATAGATTTTTGGATTCAAAAAATTGCAATAGCTTAACAGATGGTTGTCCTTAACTTTTTCAATGAGTTTTCAATTATCTCCAAACTTTCTCAATAGGAATAACATAACTTTGGACCTCTTTCTCAATTTAAATTCTTTTTATACTGATGCATTATCTAAGATAAATAAACTATTGCTCAAACCAAACTGTTTATTGAATTATGATATTAAATTTTTTCAGAAAATGCTTAGTTATATTTTGAGTTATCACTATCTTTTTTTGATTAAAACAGTAAAAAATCTGTCCAAACTGCCCTGATAATATTAATTCTTTGTTTAACTTAAGCTATCAATTTTAATCTTGTATCTATATTCAAGTCCTTTAAGTACTGTTAGTAAACTTGAAAGAAAGACATTACAAGTTAAAATGAAAAAGAAAATCATTATATATAAATTCAAACAAGTTAATTGTTATTCTTAAATCAAGTATTTGTTTTTTTACTTTTGTTTTATTTTGATTTTTAATAATTTCATTAACTTATATTTAATCCAATAGGCTTTAAAGTAATATTTAACATATTCTAGAGATTAAGTGTACTTTAAACATGATTTTTAAGGTTTAAAATTAAAAATAAATATGGTAATCCAAACATTCCTGTCCACAAAAGTGATATTACAACATGGCTTAACAAAACTCTTGTGTGTTATTTTCATAATTTTTTTTCATTTCATAGATTGTTATTTTCCATCTACAGAATATATTGAAAATATAATTCTTTATAATCCCTTTTAAAACAGTAATATTTTATTTTTTGAATTTCATAATCAAAATTATTTATGCAATTAAAATTTAAACTTCCATTAATTGTAAAAGTAATTAACCTCAATTTGTGGTATTATTCTGAAATAAAAAAAAAAAGTCAAATTACTTTAATTAAAAGAAAAAAATTCTGTAATCCTTTATGAAAGTTAATACTGATAGATTTCATGAATTGGTATATTTTTGGATCATTTTATAGGAATTTATATTCCAAAAAGGACAAACACTGTAATAAAATTAGACTATTTTTTGAAAGTTTGACAGAGAAATTCTTTAGAATTAAGCAATCCAAGGTCAAAATAGAATAGCTGTTAGAAAAGGCAAGTTCCTAATTATTATGGACGTCCTTTTAAGGAATATAGATTTGGCAAGACACAGTGGATTAGACCAATTTCATATTTCAGATAAAAATTTGATGATTAATGTATTTTACACGCTACAACCCAATCATTTCTTATTCAAAAGTTCAATAACAAATTGTATTTGAATACTATCTTAATTTGATCTCTAGTATCATTTAAGGAGTATATTTGATCCTTTGCAAGTTCAAAGAAAGGAACATATTTTAAGGGATATAAAATCTAAGCTAATTCTTATAAGAAGTAGATAGAAATAAGAAAAGAATAATAAAAGCAAAATAAAATAATTGAAAGGAAAAAACAAATCTAATTGATGAATAACTAATTTCTAGAAGAAATTTGAAATCGTCTGTATATTTTTAAAACATAATAACCACAGTTTAATTGAAATTTGAATCCAAAATGTTATAAAAATAAAAGTACTTGTTGGAATGATTATTTATAATTTTTCCTTTCTAAAATCTATGTTAATTAATTATGGAGTTTAAATTTTTAGTATTAATATCAAAATTATTACTCATTACATAAACAATAGTAATTGTAATTTGAGAATTACAATATATGAAAATATTTATTATCAAAATGAATCAATAAATATAAAAATAATATTATCGTGATTTTTGAACTTCTAATAATTTTTAGAAACCTTAAAATTAATTGCGATAATCAACTAATAACTGTTTTTTTTTAATTAAATCATTAAATAAATCTAATTAAACATCAAATTATTTTTAGGAAAGCAAGGTGAGAGTTTTTTTCAAAATAATTGATATTTTTGTAGAGACAATGAAACGAATTAAAGTAAAAGAGAAAGATAGATATAATTTAGAATTACTTATCTAATAGTAAATTATCCTTCATCTATAAAAATATATTTTATTTTTTAAGAAAATATCCATTGAGAATTTCATGAAAAATAAAGATTTAATAATACATGGATGATTAATCTAGAAATAATTGAAATTTAATAATAACTAATCTTCAAACTTTTAACCTATAAAATTCCTGAGATAATTAATAGAATAATCTGAATAGTATTTTTGGCTTATTAACTAAATTCAAATTAGATAATAACAAAAAAATATCATTATTAGAGCAAATAGCAACTTATGGAAATCAAGTAATGGGCTGTTAGCTGCAATTTTAATTCAAATTGAAATTATTCTAAATGAACGAAAATAATACTAACTTGATTGAAAGATCTTTAATAAAATGGGGAAATTGAAAAAAAAATTTAAAACTCGGAAGATTAAATTGATTAATTTAGTTTTTAATTTCAAAGTTTTATAAGAATTTTTTGAAAAATATTTCTTCTTTAAATTCCTAGAAAAGTAATTATAACTAATATAGATGTTTAAATTTATCTCTATGAATGATATCAAACTATTTAAAAGGTTATTAGCATCATAATTCCTAATTAATACCTAAAATTAGTTTTAAATTCCGTGTGCCTTTCCTTTTCATAAGGAAAGTTCTTCCAAATGACAGAAAGTGTAATTATTAACTATAGCAGCAACCGACATTTACTTTTCTAATGAATATTGTTTTTTTGGAAAGAATATCTTTGAATTTTACTTATTTTTATTTATCAAAAAAATAATTATATATTTAGAATAGGAATGATACCTTATAAGAATATTTTATAAAATTTTGATAATAGTAATCAATATTGATGTCTAAATAATCATTTATATAAAATTAATGTTTACGCGAACTCATTTAGTTTATAAATTTTTCTGTTATAAATAATATTTTCTATAACTGATGGATCATTAAAATTAGATTCTAATATTGCTAAATTTTGCTATTTTATCTGGCTTTCTATTTCTATAAGCTGTTTCTCCATTTATTATTTATCTTTTTCCATTATTTCTTTTGTCATCATATTGTAAATGTTATTTACAATATTCTCATATTTCTACAATTTATCTTAAGCTTCCTTCTCATTTATGGCATATTTTTCCTAATCGTCATTTAATAAAGATTAGAATGACTTGTCGAAGTTACTTTCTTTTTAAATCTATTATTTGTTCTGTTTTTTAAATTTATTTTCTTTTAATCTTTCATAATATCTTGTTAAGTGATATTACTTTATATAATTAACTAAAGCCAATAACTTTTCATATGATTCTAAATTCTATTAGTAAGCTTTGTTAAACTCTTATATCTTATTTTTCTTAGGAATTTTCATTATTAAATCAAATATGTTAGATTATACCTAAAGAATTTATTCTTTTAATATTATTAATTCTTATGAGTTTAATTATCTATCATAAGTCTTTTAATTTATTAAATTTAATTCTATTGATAATTAACTCTCTTACATTTTTAAATATTCATAATTCTTAATTAAATTATTATCCATAAAGCAAAAATTTAATTCTTACTATTTTTAACACACTCTATTGAATACATTTTTTAACCTATAACCTTTTTATTGATTAGTCTATTATAATTTTTAGAGCAATTCCACAATTAATTATTATTATTTATTATTTTTAATATCTCTCATTTTCATTTCAATTTAGAATAATTTCGTATTTATATTTTAAACCTCTAAATATTCTTTTAAGGTTTATATTTCTTATTTCAATTCAACTTAAAAGTTGTCTTGATATACTTTCATTTATTTATATAATTCAATACTTTCAAATTAAAAATGGATTGAATTTAGAGCTTTTGAAAATTTTCTGTAAGTTTCTTATAATTGAGTATTTAAATTAAAAATTTCTTTTTTTTCCTCACTTTCGTTTTCAGTTTCTATTTTTGAAATTATCAGCTTAAATTAGTCTATATTATATTCAATTTCATTAACATCTCTATCTAATTTTCTTTAAACTTCCTACAATAATTTAATTTAATTCTTCATAATTTCATAAGAATTTAATAGATTTAATTCAATAAAATTCTCAAATTTCTTTTAACATTTAATGATATTCTAATCTATCTTAATCAATTTATTATTTATTAAATTATAAATTTATTCATAATTCAAATATTTATTATGGAACAAATATTTAATTTAATCCTTTAATTGATTCATTTTCTTCTTAATTTAATCCAATTAGTTTTGGGTCATTTTTATTTTTTTAATTCTTTCTAAATTTATTTATTCAATTAATTCATCATTATAAATTTATTCATGCAATTAATTATATTATTTTTAATAATATCTTAATAATTCCTCAATTTCATAGTAATTTTTATTGAATTATTAATAAGATGTCTATGTACATTAATTTATTTATTTTTTTAAAGAATTTAACTATTCTAAAACAAATTTTATCTGATTCATTATTTAAACTATTTTGTTTGAATATTTTTAATTTTTAGATTAATACTAAAATTTATCCAAGTAATCAGTTAATTTATCATTTAAATTATCAATTTAATTGCTATTTTCTTCAAAAATTTTTGCATTAAATGATAAAATAGATTTACTTGCCTCTTCAATCAAAATCTTGAGTACATTTTAAGCTTGCTATATTTCTTTAAGCTTTGTATTAAATTATTAATAAATAGTAATCTTTTGTTCGTCACATTATACCATTATCCTCACTTCCGATTATTCTAGTTCTTTGATTTCTTCTTCCATTTTTTAATGTTATTTTCTGACATTTAAATACTTCTCTTGTTCATTAATTTATTTTTAATCCCTTTAATTTAAGTTATATTGTTCTGAGAGTGTTTAAATCTAATTAGATTATAACCTAAATTAGTTTCGAATAATCTCGAGAAAATTTATAAATTATTCTTTTTCTTTTTTCAATTTTTACTAATTTTCGATTTCTTTATTTTTTAGCAACTATTCAACTAATCTTAATTCTTTTGTAATTTTTTCCATTATGAGATTATATTCTTATAATTATTATTATTGATTAACTTGAAAAATTTCTTACTCAAGTTTTATAAATTCATCTTTCATCTTTGCTTATTATATCTACTATAGTCTTTATTCATTTTCATTCAGTATTTCTTAATATTTCTTTATCTCTTTATTAATACAAATAACCAATTATTTTTTTTTTTATTCTGCTGTTTCAATTTAATTTATTTTATTTAACTTTTCCATTAGGTTTTAAATAAACTACTAATTTGTAGTTTTAATAACTGATAATTGCATAACAATTCGTTTTTAGTATTCCTAGATGTTTGTTAAATACTAATCAATTTTCTATAATAAAATTTCCAATTAAATTCTTTTTTTACTTTCTATTTATAACATTGAGTTGATTAGATCCTTTTCTGTTTATCCTAAACAATTAGCTTTATTTATATTCTTATTGATCCAATCTTAAGTTAAATCCTACATTTACTCTTTCATTTCTTACTTGTTCTTAGCTAAAAATTAAATACATAAGAACCTAAAAAAAAATCTTCTGATACAAGTAGTTCATATAGTATGATTCCAAGACTCCAAATATTAACGGTTTTATTATATAATTGGTTTCCTTATATAACTTCAGGTGCCAAGTAATTAAAAGTTTCAATTTATTTTGTTTTAAAATATGTGGAATCGTGTTTTATTGAACCAAAATCTATTAACTTGACTTAATAATTTTGAGTTTAAGTTTCAAAATATACAAAACTTTATGGTTTTAAATTTATTTGAAAATAGCCTAAGCTATGTAATTCCATCTCTCCTCTTACCATCTTAAAATAGATTTTATTTTACTTATTCAAATATCTTAAATTTCTAAAATAAACTAAAAGAAATGTTGGATTTAATCAAATTTTGGGTATTATCTTTACCTTTTTCCATAACTACATAAAACTTTCTATCTTTTTTAATATTTAGAAAATTCTGTATGCCAATTATTTTAATCATATGTTAGCATTTAGGTATTTTTTGATTTTAGTATTTTTTGATTTATTAAAGAACTTCTATTTGCTCATCTGATATTTCTTTGTATAATTTTATGATAAAATTTTCATTTTCATTTCGAGTCTAATTTCCAATAAAAGTAATTGATTGAACACCTTAACAATCAAATTATTTAAGATTTTCATACAATTTTCCTTCTATAAAAACACATTCATTTTATATTTGAGAAGCTGCATTCATTGATAAATGATATTAATTATAGAATTACAGAAATATAAATAATGATTAAAAATCTTATTTTTGGCAATATTTTTAACACTTTTGTACATCTTTTTATAGTCCTATAGTTCATTAACCTTTTTAGTTAATTTACTCAATATTGGGATACAACATTTTATTTAAAGAGAGGATTTCGATGTTTATTATAAAAAAGTAGAGTAGGGTGAAGAGATTAATTGTAGAATATATAAGTATATTATGTTCATGATTAAAATATCTGAAAGAAACTTAATTAATTTATTCAAATTATATTAAGAATCTAGAGCCACAAAGAATTAATTAAAAAAAATTAAGTTTTGTTGAAGTGTTGGAGACTTTATGATAGGTAATTCAAATCAATTAAAGAAACCAAAGATAATCATTCAAGAATATTTAATTTAGGAATCGATTAATTAAAAAACATTCACTTTTGTAAGAACATAGGTGCCATGAAAATAGTATATATTTTCGAATATGAAATAATTTTTGAATACATAAATTAATAATTTAGGTTATAGTTACTAAGACTCAATAAAATTATAGGCTTAGGTGAATTTAACAAATATTGTAGGATTGAATAAATCAATATTTCAAATAACATATCGTCACTAAATACTATAATATGGATGAGGAACCATAATTCATAATTAATTGATTAAAAAATTTTTAAAATACTTTATAATAATAATTTAAAACTATTAATAAATTAATTGATACTTTATTGTATTTACATAGATTATTTTTAATAGTGATTTTAAGAATACTATTCAATTTTTAATGGAACTTTGGACTTAAACTGTGAACATACTTGATAACTAGGCATCTAACATATAATTAAATGAGACGATATATCCGAAATCAATTGATTTTTAATAATTGTTCTACATTATTCCTTAGATTCACAAAAATAATTAATTAATCCAAATAGTTTAATTCTTAATCAATAAACTATTATGATTACTTGATAAAGATTGATAATTTAAAGTAATATCTAAAAGTATAACTAATATCTACTAACTAAGTTTTATTGAATATTAATAAACTGTTTCGATAATATAGAGTTTATGATCTAAATGCTCTTAATAAAAGACTTAAATTTTAATTCCATTTATAAGGATTTAAAAAACTATCAGAAGTAATAAATATTTGGAAGATTTTTATTCGCAGTATCATTCTAAGGAGTTTTTATAAAAGAGACTTAAGATATTGAATTGATAGAGCGATTAAAGATTGCAATTGTGGTATTAACTTTATAAAATGAAGGTTAGCTTGAAGAAATGGATTAGAGGAATAAACAATTGATGATTGAAGTAAAAATATTGAAAATAATTCCAAAGAGATGAGAATTTTTGAATTATTACGATTTGGAAAATTAGATAAAAATCAATATAGGATTCCTTCTCTGAATTGAATTATAAATGATTTTAGTCAGAATTAATATCTAGAATAAAATTTAAAGATTAAAATAGATATTTTATGAGGAGTGGAGAAGTTTTTATAATTATTGATTAATTAAAAATTGTGATGATAAAGTATATCTTATCAACTATAAAATGTAAAATTGTAATGAAAGTTTTCTAAAAGGTTGATCGAAAAAAATAAAAGAATTGATACCTTTCAATGTTAAGAATAATAATTTTATCTTAATAACAAATATCTTCTAACGAATCAATATGATTAATTATCATTTACTTATTATCAATAATTGAATCAATTTTAACTTAGTTCCTAGATTTATTTTTATATAAATATTTTTACTTGCATTTGTTCATAATAAATAAACAAAAGTTTAAAATTCATATTTTTATAAATTATCAAATATAAATCTAATCTTGATTGATTAATTAAAATTTTGATTTTATAATAATGTGGCAAGTGATAAATTAGTCTTAGAACATTATTTTATATTTTTTATTATCAGATCTATTGCTTTTGCCTTACTCTTTTACTCTTCTATTTTGCAGTAAAAATATTTCTCAATGTTTAATGAATCTGATTTAATCTCAAAACTTACTCTCTCCAGATTTTGAATTATATGAATAAAATTCAAATAAAATTTGAATGATACAACTTTATTATGAATACCATCATTTAAAAGCAATATTAATATTTTAATAAAAAAAGCATTTTCTAATTTATTTATTTTAATAATTTCATAAAAACTCAACAAGTTCTTTAAGAATAAAATTATACATTTATAAATTAATAATAATTCTAAACTTTATAATTAATGAATCGAATACAATATTAATCATATTCGCATATATTGATACCAATTTCCAGGAAGGTCAAATATTCATGAATCTTTGGCTAAAAATATTCTTGTGAGAAAAAAGTAGAGAAATACGACAAAAAATTTAAATTAAAATATTCCCTAATACAGTATAAAACTTAAGAGTGCAAATGAAAAAATATCAATTAAAAGAAAAGGAAATATACAGTTTAAATATATATATATCTAATATTCTTGATAATTATCAATTTTAATTTTAAATTTCGTCTTCCGAAATAAGACTCCCCTTAGATTGTAAAAATGAAAATAAATCTACACCTTAATTATTTTCAAATTATCCTTTATGAATTTAAGCACCTTAAGCTTAAAATATTGGCTATTGGGATATGAGAAGAAGATTAATATTAGAAGAGACTAAGTCATAAAAATAAATACTGCTATTTGAAAGGCGAACATCCCATAACCTGATGGAATTATCATCACTACAAGATGCTAATGAAGAGCCGTCAGGAGAAAAGCATACTGATCTGACATAATCACTATGACCATTTATTTCTGCTTTTTATTTTCCTGTCCTAACATCCCATAACCTGATTGAATTATCATCACTACCAGATGCTAATGTTTAACCATCAGGGGAAAAGCACACTGATCTTACATAATCACTATGACCATTTAATAATGCATTTTATTATCCTGTCTAAATATTCCATAACCTGATGGATTTATCATCACTACACGATGCTAATATAGTACCGTCAGGAGAGAAGCATACTGAATTGACATTTCCACTATGACCTTACAATATTGATTTTTTCATCTACTTATTTAACCAGATAAAGAATACTACAAATAACATAAAAATTATGAAGTATGAATAAATAAAAGCCCATATAAAACAACATAAGAATATTAGTATAAATACCCAATATTTAAATACACTTTCCTTAACATCCCATAACATAATTGAATAATCTTTACTACCAGATGCTAATTTAGTACCATTAGGGGAAAAGCATACTGATAAAACATCTTTAGAATGACCATTTAATAATTTCTTTTATTATCCTGTCTTAACATCCCATAGCCAAATTAAATTATCTCCACTACCAGATGCTAATGTTTAACCATCAGGGGAAAAGCACACTGAATAGACCAAACCATTATGACCATTTAGTTGTGCCTTTTAATTTCCTGTCTAAACATCCCAAAAGTTAATAGAGTTATTCGTGCCACCAGATGCTAATGTAGAACCATCAGGAGAAAAGCATACTGATAGGACATAACTAGTATTACCATGGAATTTGACTTTTTATTTTCCTGTCTTAACATCTTACAATCGAATAGTATTATCCCAACTCCCAGATGCTAATTTAGTACCATCAGGAGAAAAGCAGACTGAACTTACATATCCACTATGACCATCCAATTTATGTTATTCATCTATTTTTATGTTTTTCCATCTACAGTTAAATAATTAAGCTTCATTCAAATTCATCCCGCTTATATCTACATTATCAAATTCTGATCCACTCAAATTACATCTGACAAAATTAGCTCCGATTAAAGATGTATTTTTTATCTTTATTTTTTCTAAGTTTTAGTTTGTCAGATCAACCTTTATCTCGACTAATAAATTGAGTGATTTAGATCCTAATTCTATGAATTTATTATTTAAAGCTGTAAGGCTAACTATAGATTTTAAAAATTAAATAATCCTATCATCTTTTGATATTTAGTTTATTAGATTTTCTTTATGTTATATATCCATTAATGCTTCAAATATCATATTGAATGTTCTTCTATCTATTGGTTTGAAGGAAGCTAAAATCTCATACAAATCTTCCATTTGTTATAAATGTTATTCAAAATATTTTTATTTTTCTAGTTCATTAATTACTTCATCTATTCCAATTCTTTTTTTTTATTATATAATTTTTTCTTCTCCATCCAAATATTGAACAATCATTTTTTATAACAATGTATTTAACTATTAATTTACTATTTTTTTTCTTATTTTATTATTTATTTGTTATTGACTTATTTAGGTTATCGCTCTATATGTTAAATAATCTGTATCATATTTAGCAAAAAATGTTTCATTAGTAATAACCTCATAAAAGATCACACCCAAAGACCAAATGTCAATGGATGAATCATAAGCATTTGTGATAATCATTTCTGGGGCCATATATATATACGTTCCAGTAGAATTTGTATGAATTTCTTCTCTAATTTATTTTGTGGTTCCAAAATCGATTAATTTGATTTTATCATCTTTGCCGATTACAAAATTATCAGGTTTTAAATCTCTATGAAAAAATCCTAATTAGTGCAATTCAGAAACTCCTTTTGCCATCTTAAAAATATTGAAAGTTATTTACTTACAAGCAAATTCCATTTTTATCAGACATATTCTTTATATCAAAACTCTCTGCAAGTTCCATAATTGTGAAAATTCCGTTCTTTTACTCTTCAAAAGCATACACTTAAATTATATGTTCACATTTTTTTCCTTTGAGAGCCTACAAGATCTTATATTCGTGATCACTTATTTTCATTTGCTCTTTTATCGCTACAAAACTGCCGTCTGTTGTTTCTCCTAGATAAACTTAGCCATTTCCTCCAACACCAATTTTTTGTCGTTTTTTAATTTCAATTTCTTCAACCTTAATGATCATTAATTACAAACTCTATTAAATTATTTTATTTTTATTGTGAGAATTTTTTACTTAAACAGGCCGTATTTTTAGAAATATATTGAATATTTGGTTAATTCAGTTGAAAATTTTAGCTATCACAAATAATAAGACTGAAATTATTATAAAAGAAAAGGTTAAAAAATTAGATGAATAAAAGGTTTAGACTTAAAGATAAATTTAAGTTGTTTGGTACATTATTTGGCTAGCCTATTGATAAATCAACCTACTATATCTTAAACAATATTAATAATTCAACAAAACAGATTTAACAATGCTGAACTAAATCATTTTTATTTAATTACCTCCAATACCCTTTGATAGATTCTACCAATTTTCTTCTTTTTTTACTATTTTTATTATTAAACTTCCAAAAATCTGTTTCTCTCCTCTCAGTATAAAATCCACTTTTCAATTTGTATAATAAAATTATTTTAATATTCAACCAATTTAGAACTTCATAATTTATTTGAACAAGTCAATTTAATGTTTCTTAATTTATTTGAACAAGGACAATAATTTGATAGATTTTCTTCTTAACGATTCTATTTTCTCTTTATGAAAAATATTCAAAAATAGATATATTCAAAGAATTTTACTATCAAATATATCTTTTATTTATCAAATAGAAGTCAATAGTATTAGAAATATAATCTCTTATTTTTTACTTAATATTTATTTTATAATTTATATATCATCAAAAACAATAAATTCATTCTTCCAAATACTTTACTTAATATTTACTAATAATATAAAAAGAATTCATTAATATCGAGTTAAATAATATTTTTTTATAATTTTACTCTAATATTTCCATTAAAATTATAATCTAATTTTCCCTATTTCTTAAAAATCATACTATTTAGAGGCACGATAGTAATTAAATTTAAACAAAAATTGCAAAGATTAAATATTAGAAATTTTAATTCAGCATAATACTTAAAATTTGATTATTATTTAGAATGAATATTTATTAAAAAATCTATCAACAATTCTCATAAAGAGCGCTCAAATTTTTTGAAGCAATATACTATTATTTATCAAATGATTCCTATTATTATTTAATGTACTTAAGCATATACTATTCTTATGTTTAAAATAAAATTTTATTGAAAAAGCTACTACTTTCCTATGAGATTATAAAATTCATTCATAAAAATTTAATTTGAATATAGGCTAAAGAAGCCAAAATCATAATTTAAATTAAGTAGTTAATTTGGAAGTAGGGAAATTATAATAAATTAAAAATTTTGATTCTTAAAAGAAAAAGAAACCAATCATTTAAAAATTGAAGATTAAATATAGTATGATTTTTGAAAAGTTTGGATATTTGATTGAATATTATTTAATTGTATATAATCATTATTGTAACTGAATTCATAAAATTACATGATTTAAGTTGACAAGAAAATATCAAATAAGATGATTTAACATTTATGATCAATCATTTGATTTAATTTTTCCATATTAATGGGATTTTCAAATTAAGGAAAGGAGATATGATAAAACAAACTAGTAGAGCTGAAGAATTATAAATAATTATTGATTTAGATTTTAGTATTACTAATTTCAAATTTGACTATTAAGAGAATTAACATTTGAAATGATAATAAATCGTTTTCTCATAAGTTATTTTTGATTTTTTTAAAATGACTTAAATTGAAACAGAAACATAAATTTTGGGCTGAATATTTTTACAGCTTACTATATTAGGGCATTTTCATTTTAAACTAATTTTGTATTTATTATCTTGTGATAAAAATTATACAAATTTTTTTCATGAAAACTCAATATAAATTTTGTCATGAGTGTCCAACAAACTTTATTTGAGGAATTTACAAAGGCAAAATTAATAAAAAATGTATTAGATATTGTAAAATAACTGAAGATTTGATTATTCTGATTGATGATTTTGGTTAAAAAATAATTGAAATGTTCAAATAATTAAACATAGATTATTAATTTAGATTAAGTGAATCTAAAACTACTTTGAAAAGTGTCTTAAGTTAACATGATTTATATAAAGAAGAAACTACTTTAATCCTTTTTAGTTTGAGATGTTAAAAAATATGATTTCAAAAAATTTGGTTGCAGGATGCTTTGAAAATATCCAAAAAAAGAATAATATTAGAAAAATTTATGTAAGATTGGTATAAGACAACTTATCTAATTAATTCAATCTTATAGTTTACAAAAAATTTTATCTATACCAAGTACTGAATTAACTAAAAAAATAATCGTATCTTGGAGGGATTATAAAGTGTTAAAATATATTAGTCAAAACAAACTTTCAACCTATAACATAAAGAGCACTAGATAAAAAAAAATAGATGGATCGAAAAATGAAGAAGTTTTACTCAATGTAGAGTAAATGAAATACTTAAAATTCAAAGGAAAACATGGAATTAAAGGGTATAAAATTAAATAATGGCATTATTTTTGTAATGGAGAAAATTTAGGTGGAGATTGGTTTAATGTATTCGGAGGAAAGTAAGGAAATTGGATTGAATTATCAGAAAATTATTGGGAATATTGAATAAATTATAATAAATTATTTATAAATTATTTATAAATAAAAAAAATTTATGAAGTAAGTTGCTATAATTTGAATAATAGAATTGGATATTATTTTTAATTTAATATGATGACTATTAAGAAAGAAAGATTAATTATTAAATTCATCTAAAATGAAGGCAACTAACTTATATATTGTCATAAAAGAATAAGGTTGATTTTTTTGAAGACTTACTTTAGATAAAACTACATAAGACTAAATTCAGATGGATATCAATTTTATAAAATTAATATGTTAACAACTAAGCATCAAAAAAATCAGCAATAATAAAGACCTTGTTAAGTTAAAAAGATCCGTCTCTTGATTTTATGAGAAGCTCAAATAACTTGAATTTGTATTCACTCTGAGACTTGAAACTGAGGAAAAAAAGAATCATTTAAAACAAAATTAAATTTAATAAAAGAATTCAACGTTACTGTTGAAAATTGTATTGACTAAATATTAACAAATATTGATTAAAAGGAAGAAATAGAGTCAAAACCTAAAATTGATAAGTTTAAATTACAAGTGGAAATATTATAATCAAATAATAAAATATGCTTTAATATTGAGATTCCTATAAAATTTGATAAATTAGATGATTATAATCAATTTTATGATACTATATTTTAAATAAATTAATAATTTTCAAGTAATCAATCATATTCTTTAGTCATTGATACTCAATAAAAATCATAAAATTGATAAGTTCAAGGAAATAAACTCATTTCGTAGATAAACAGAGAAGAATTAGATAAATCAGTAATAATTATTATATGAATTATAGAAGACATCATTAATTTAAATCAAATGTAATAAATATAGAACTTTATATGCTAAAGTCTGTAAATCAATTTTAAAAGGAATCTCTGTTATGAATTTAGGTCTATACAAATTGTAAGTACCAAGAGATAAGCAACTTTCCATTTAGTTTGCAATTGTTTGTCTATTTATTATAATTTTCATGCAACATAGAGATGATATAATGTTTAATTAAAAAAATAATATATTTGATTTATGATGATATTTCATAACTGTACTTATTATTTCTATATTTAATCTGTATCATCTGTACCATTTTCCAACGCAGTCTTATAAAATTATTCAGCTAATTATTTTTCCCCTAATTCAAATAGTGAATCAGCTATATTTAAATTAGAATAAAAATCGTTTACCTTTTTGTTTTAATATTGAAGGTTATTTGCGAATGGAAAGAGACATATCATAACTTTAGATGGCATCTTTGAAGTTCTTTAATTTGTGTAGTAATAAACCTGAATTATAAAGTAATTTACCCTTACTATTCCAAGCAGATTCATTTTTAGGATTTATTGAAATAACTTTGTCAAAACATTCTATTGCATCTTCATACTTCTTTAAGTATATTAATGAATTTCCTAAATTATAATTGATCACAATTAATTACCCTTATTCAACCATGCAAATTCCAATTAAGGATTAATCATAATTGCTATGTCGTAACACTATAATGCTTCTTTATATTTTTTTAAATAGCATAATACTTAACCTAAAGACATTAAGAACCAATTACCCTTATTATTCCAAGCAGGCGAAGATTTAGGATTTATTTAAATAGCTTTTTCGTAACATTCGATTGCTTCTTAATACTTCTTTAAACGTTTTAATGCTTGACCTAAATAAAAATAGTAATTTAATTACCCTTATTCAAATATGAAGATAACAATTTACTATCCATTAATATAGCTTTGTCAAAACACTCAATTGCTTCTTCGTACTTTTCTAATTAACTTAATTACTATCCTAAAATAAGAAGAAATTTATTTTACCTTTATCTATCATTATTTAAGGATCTTAATTATTCTACTGCATATTATCATTAATCTCCTAATTAATTTCTTCAATTTTAATATTATTTTAATAATCATAATTAAATTAGTGTTCCGCTTTAATTTAATCTGGTACCATAGTTTTTATAGTTTCAAGAATAATATTTAATTATGATATTTGTTATTCTATTATAATAATTTAAAAAGATACATACGTATTTGTCTTTTTCATTTGAATAAAACAATTTGATTATGTTTATTTATGATTTAATAGCCAAATAGTCTTTGTTTAAAAGTTAATTGCTAATATTTTCTAAGATTATAATTTCTTAATCCATTCTTTTAAAAATCTATTCAAAAATATTCTGAAGTTATTGATAGATTTCATTAAAGTAATTCCTTGATTTATTATAAATCTGCATGAAATCATTGATATATGAGATCATTTTAGTAAATCTAATACAATCATTGAAATGGTCTGAATGAAATGTATTTAAACATTCATAACAATACTGAGTTGCATTTTAACAATTTTGGTTCAAACAAAATCCAATAATTTCTTCATTTTCATGTGCTATATATTTACAAGTAAAGATTTCCATTAAAAATAAAATAATTAATCAATTAAATATTATTTATACATTAAGAATGTATTTATAATACAAATTACAAACTCTATTTAATATAAATAATTAAATCAAGCAATCTTTTATAAACTAAAACACTATTTTAGTCTAAATATTTTATAATTACTTAAATTAAAAATAAATTTTATTGATGAAATTTAATATTATAGATGATTGAGCTACGTTTTAATAAGACAATTTATGAAAAAGATAGAAATTAAAATTATTGCCTTAGTTGATCTAAATTTAAAAGAATTACCTATTATTAAATATCTGAATAAAATTTAATTATCATTTAATATTTAGTATTGACACAAAGTTGAAAGATATTTTCTATTACTTTAAAGATCTGTTCAATAGGAAACTACCTAATCTTATCTATCTTTTTATTCCTAATTATTTTTTTGTATTTGAATATCTATATAATTTAAATTCTGCTTAATAAATAAGGATAAGTAAAATTTTTAGATGCTTGGTGATATATTTTATCACATTTTAGTTCTAAATTATTAAAATATAATATTGCAATACTAGCTTTAGATTCCTTTATAAAAAAATTTAAAAAAGAAATTCCTGAATTTGATTTTAGTGTTAATTCTATAATAATACTATTAGGAAACAACTAAGGTTTTAAATATTTCTTCCGAGATGTAATTAAATTTCCTCTGATAGTAATTAATTCGAAGATTTTCTATCTATATTTCATTTATAAATGTATAAGCAAGTTAGTTTCATGATATTTCAATTTATTTGCATTATATGTGGAGGGGCAAGAATATAATGAAATTGCTCCAGATTTTGTCAGGAATTTTAACCCTCAAAACATAAAAGTACCATTTAATGCAATCATGGATTATTATATTATTCAAAATAATTATGATTGTAACTAAGGTTTTTTTTAAGATATTAAATAACAGTCAAGGGAAATCATTATTAAATTAATCTTCTAATTTATTTTTTGTTAAAAAAACTATTAATTAGAAAATTTAGTAGGATCTAGTGACTTTTTTATAGAGCATAAAAAAGATTTCATTTTATCATTAAACAATTAGATGCATAAATGCTTAAGAAAATTCTAAAAAAATAAAGATTTTTGATCATCAAAATTAGTAAAAAAAAAGTTCAATTCAAAACTTCTTAATTTAAAAAATCTATTTTTATATCAAGTTACATTTATAAAGATGGATTCAGATCCTGTTCAATTGTTGTATTTATTAAATAAAAGAATAAGGATTTATTTTTATCTTTACTATTTAAAAACAAAAATTGTAATAAGTATCAATTTAACTTTTCTTCCTAATCCTTGATATAAAAATATAAATAAAAAAATAATTAATTTACTTATCATCACATTTTAGATAAAATGCAGTTCTATTACTTTAAGATTAAATGGAAAAATAATTAATTTCATAATTTTTCTTCTCCTCATAATTGTGTTTCCGTTATTAATCCTATAAATTTATATACTATATTATTATACACTTTATGCATTTTTTTTTCATAAACATTTGCATCTATAAATAATAATTAATAAGAGTTTTTAGTATTACATCTAAATAATTATTTCCTCGACATAAATAGAAAACATTTATTTCAAAAACGAATAAGTGTTAAATCTATCCATAATTCTTTAATTTATTAATTTTGATTCTTATATAGTATTTTATGATTTTCTTAATAATAAGAAGAATAATTTAATGCAATATTCATCTTCTAATAATTTTAGTTTATAATGGGTTTTGTTTAGATTTTTATAAATGAATTGTTATTTCAAATTTAGATTTGTAAAAAAATAAAAGCAGAGTAATAATCAAAATTGAACTAAGATCTTAATTAATTAAAAAAATCATTATTATTAAAAAGAATTATATTATAAATATCTGTTAAAAATGGGTTTTATTTTCAAACTTTGATGACTTCTTTTATGAATTTAATTTTTCTTATAAATTCTAAATTTTCAGCCAATCTTTCTATTTTTATGTTAATTTTTCCTTCTGTAAAATAAAAATACTGATAGTAAGCATATAAATAATTAAATAGTCATTAATCAAAGTAACTAAATCATATTCATAATTTTCATTTTTATGCTAGTTTCTAATTTTTGTATTATAATTTTTAATAAGATAATTATTTTTTCTTTTATCATCAAATTTTTTAGAACACATTAGGTTTCATAATAATAATTTCTTTTAGTATATATAGTCTTAAAAACAACTCAATAACATTCAATATTTTAATTACTTTTTCAAGTATCATTTTAATCAAAAATCAGAAAACCTTAAACAATTGCTTGAGATTTTTGATTCATCACTTCTTAGTATCTCTTGCGATTAGATATATATAAAAATACTGGTTTACATTACTGATTCATCCCCTAAAATTTTTGTTAAATTTCAAGTAGTTCTACTGGATTGATTAAATTTAGAAACACAAAACAAATTTGCTAATTAGTCATTTTAGTATTCATTTAAGGATGATCAATGTACAATATTCAAACACTTTTTATTTTTATTTTGAAAATAAAAAAAAAAAACTCTTCTATTGATGATGATTACAAAGGGAGTGATTTTATTGTTTTAAAAATAGATTTAATTGGTTGCTTAATCAATTTCAAATGCTTGAGTAATATATAACCTTAAAGATATCTCATACATCAGTATTTTCAGTAATTCTGCGTGATGTAACATTAAAATTTACAAATAAATGTATTTGTTTTTGAAATAATATATATTTTTGAATATTATGTGTGTAAAATCAATTATCATCATCAGGTTGAAAATCAAATATACTTTATTGAGGAATTCCAAATTGTTATTTATATGCTTCAGATACACAAGTTTATGCTAAACGTTTAAGTAATCTTTCTAATTTGATATGCAATGGCTGCTATTTAGGTAATATATATGTTGTATTCATATCTTTATAAACAGGCAATGAAATTATTTCAGCAAATCTGGCTAATGCTTCCATAAATTCTATAAAAGTCATTTAGATGATACCATCATTTTATAATTCATCTATTTAAGACTTTATTGATTAATTGAATGCCTAATATGAATAATTTTAATACCATATTTATTTTTTTATAATTGTAATTCTTATATGCTTTATTACATATTTGATGAAATTAATCAAGGCTCATAAATTTCTCTTATTCTTATTTTATACAATATTTATTATAAACATTATTTAACAAATTTTTGTAATAGTTTAAACAATCATCACATTATTCATTAAAGTACTTCTCATCTCTCCATTCATGTGTATTGAATTTTTACATGAAAGGTCGGCATTGATCTAATAGCATTTAAACAGATTCAACTATATTATTTGTTTATTTTTGTTCCAAGTATTTATCAATAGAAACTCTAACTAAAAATTCAATAAATTGATATCTGCATAATGCTATTTTAGGATTTCTATAATTTTTTTAAGTTTCAATTGAAGCAATACAAGTGGCTTTAAATTATCGTTTCAAATTTTCAATCTTATATGTTTTATTGCCAATCAATCTAGTTTCTGATGCAAATTCTGAAATAATACTAAATGGCATTGACCAAACATTTCCAGATGTCTGTTCTGATGATAACTATTTATGTGTTTCTTTGATGATTTTATAATCATTCCATATTAAATTTTTGACTTCATTAAATTCATCTTCATTTGTTACAATATTTTATATTTAACTGTAACTCAAATCCTTCTCAAAACATTTCCTTAAGAATTCTTCATTTTCAAACTGAAAATCCATTTACCAAATCGAATTTTAAAAGGACCAATTTCTTTATTTACCTTCTTATTCAGATGGAACTTAAATTGGATCTGGAGTTCTTAAAAACTAAGAAGCAACTGTTTTAATTTCTTAATGATCCAATAAATAAAAGTTTTTCAATTTCTTTAAAATATTTTCCTCATTAATACCTTCATCCACCTCAAACCATTATCCATTTTATTCAATATATGATCCTCCATAACTAAATAATAATATTCAAAAATTGTTACATCAATTCAAAAGGAGAACAAAGATTTTTTTTCCAAAAATATTTCCATTCTCCAATTTTAATGCCATTCTCATATTAACCTTTTAATAATAATTCACATTATTAACTAAATTATATATATATTCATATACTTTTTTATACATCCAACCCACAATCCATCTTTTTTTCCAATATACTCTTCCATAGGATAGTATTCCCTTTGCAATTCCAACTTTTCATAGTTATTCTTATTATTATAATCATTCCTAAATAAACAATAAAATTTCTTTATTTACTCAAACCATTTTCCCATCTAATATTTATTTGACTATGGATAGTAAACAAACACTTTTGAAGATTAATTTATTTGCTGAGATTAGAAAAATTCTTTAGGCAATTTCCTTCCAAAAGAATAACCAATACCATTATCAAAACTTGTTTGCAATTTATAAGAACCTACTCCAGGGATTGGATTATAATAATCAGTTCCTTTTTAATTTGAGGAAAAACTAATTTAATCAATAATATATTAACCGAAAAGCTTAATTATTGCTAATTAATCTAGGATTAAAGTAAGATGGTCCATTACATTCGTAAGGTAACTAAAATGAAAATACTTTTAATTTTTATTCATTCCCAAATCTTAGGTGTTATTTAATAAATACTTATAACTTGATTTTGATCCTTAGAGTTTTAGATTATATGCTCCTGGCCCTGGGATTTTAAAATATTCAAGTTGTTCGAATAATTCATTTTCGATTTATGACATTATTATTTAAAATAATTTATGTGTTTTATCACATTAAATAGTTCTTAAATAACAATGATTTATGAAAGTAGATTTAAGATTCAGGATAATACTTTTAGATTAAAAAAAATAATTGAAAGTTTTAATAATCATTTAATATTCTTTAATCAAATTATTAAAGACAAAGTTAAGATGTTTGAATTTTAAGGAATTTCTTGATTTTTGCTTCTTTCAAATATATTTTTTAAATATCTTTTCATCTTTATTGATTGCCTAATTCTTTTTTTTATTGCTATACAATTTATACTGAATTAATATAGGTGATATTGGAATAATTTCATTCAGTTATTTTTTTATTTGCACTTCTAATTTTCAGTAGTGATATAACATCTCTAATATCACTTCAAAGGATTAAATTATTGATAAATATCGTATTTTGTTTATAATTCTATAAATAATCTGAAGAACCTATCTGATTGTTGTTGTTGTATAATCACAATCACAGATATTAATATTTAAATTGAAATTTTTATATTAATATCTTAATGGATTCTGAATAATCAAATTAATATTTTTTATTTAGAAATATCAATTAGTTAATATTGAATTTTTGGAATCATACAAAGCACAAGCTCTTTCTTATGAATACTAACTTCAATCTTTATCCTTTATCAAAAACCTTTAACCCTTTAGATGTGTATACTTAATATCACTTTTCAAAATCAAAGTGCTCTTTCTGCTCATATATTACTGAAATTTTAAAGTTTGTTTTCTAGTTGCTTATAAGGAAGTTTATGATAATTTTAAGTATCAAATAATCCAATCATGATAACTTTTCAAGTCTTTTTATCTTAAAAATAAGCTCTAGAATGCAATAAATAAATGAATTATTTATTAATATATTTATTGTAATATAATTAGTCAGATTGACATAAATATTATCAAAAAAAACATCAAATACTATTTTTCAACAGTTTTTCAATAGAATAGTGAATTGCATATTCTATTAATATTTTGATTTATTTATACTACAACAAAATTTTTCATAAATTTGAATAATATTAAAATGTTCTGTTTTCTCAATCCTATCATAAATTAAATTTTTTTTAAGAAGTGAATCAATTAACTAAAGAAAAAAACATAAAATTCTTGAAAAGCTTCTCTATTCACCATTTGATTAATTCGCCTTGCAAAATTTATAGGTTAACCATTATTTCAATGAATTTAATTAAATACAAGTAGGACTGCAAAATAAATTAAAATCTTTATTGATTTTAACTAAAATCATTTGATTCTATTAAATTAAAAGCTGATAATAAAATTTAATTTTCTTATTTAATAAATGAAGAATAAAGATTATAGTTTCATTTCTCTCATTAATTTAAATTATTAAGGGTTCAGCTATTTTAACTTAAACTTAGCAACTCTAAGAAGAATCATGAAAATACTTAATTCTGCTAAAACATTTTTTATTTTTATTTTAATTAAATAATTTAATTTATAAAAATTTATGACATTATACTTTGTTTTTCTTTATATTTCTTTTATAAAATAACCACCCCCTCTAAAAGAATTTTCGACTTATAAAATGGATATATGATGATGGAAAATTATTATTTAAAGAGTTTAAATAAAATAACACTTTAAAATGAAAGAAATAATTACAATTTAAGTTGGATAGGGAGGAATATAGGTTGGAAATGCATGTTGGGAATTGTTCTGTTTAGAGCATTAGATTTAGTCTGATGGATAGATGATCAATCCATAAGTTATAGGAATAAATGATGCATTAAAAACATTTTTTTATGAATCTGATCATTAGAAACTAGTTCCAAGATCTATATTTGTGGATTTAGAATCTACTTAAATAGATTAAGTGAAAACTAGTAAATTTAAGGCTCTGTTTAGCCAAAACTAATTTATTTCTGGGAAAGAGGGTGCTGCTAACAATTTTGCAAGAGGTCATTATTCTATTGGCAAAGATTATGGTGAAATATGTTTGGAAAGAATCAGAATGCTTGCTGATAATTGTTCTTCAGTTTAAGGATTTATGATGTTCAATTCAGTTGGTGGAGGGACAGGTTCCGGTTTAGGTACATTGTTATTTGAAAAATTATCAGATGATTATAATAAAAAATCTAGATTGAGTATAAATATTTATCCATCACCAGAAACTTCTGTTTCTATGGTTGAACCCTATAATTCTATTTTTGCAACTTAATCTTTATTAGAACATGCTGATGTTTGTATACCTATGGATAATTAAGCAATTTATGATATATGTAAGAATAGTCTTGACATTGAAACACCAAAATATTCTAATTTGAATAGGATGATAGCTCAAGTGATTTCATAAATAACAGTAGATATGAGATTTAATGGAGCACTATTTACTGATATATCAGAATTGCAAACTTCCCTTGTTCCCTATCCCATCTTCAAATTTTTGATTTCCTCTTATGCTCCTATAATAACTCATTTCAAGATGGACCATGTGTAACTTTCGACTGTTGAAATTTCAAAACTTGCTTTTGAAACAGAAAATATGATGGTAAAATGCGATCCAAAATAGGGGAAATATATGTCATTATCAATATTGTATAGAGGAGATATCATTCCTAAAGATGTAAGCTATTCAATCTCATAATTAAAAAATTAAAAAACTATTACATTTGTTGATTGGGTTCCGACATGCTTTAGGGTAGGAATTAATCACAAAGTTCAATAAACCTTACAAGAAGATGATATATGTAAAGCTTTACGATCTGCATGTATGATTTCAAATACAACTGCAATAACTTAAATCTTTTCAAAACTATGCCATTAATATGATTTAATGTTTGCATAAAAAGCCTTTGTGTATTGGTATCTATAAGAGGGGATGGAGGAAGGAGAATTCGTAGAAGCAAGAGAAGGATTAGCAAGCTTATAAAAGGATTATGAGTAAGCAGATTCAGAAATTTTTGAAGAATATTTAAAAGAAAAAACAGAACCATGAATATTTATCATCAAATAATAATTATATATTAAAATTAAATTATTGTTTATTATTTTTTTTATAAAAATACTTTGGATTCTAGAAGATTCGACAGACTTTTCCAATTAGAATGAGAAGGTTGACTGGAGGGAACCTTAGCTATTGCCATGTGTGCAAATTCTGAAAACCTTCATATATATGGCAAGAAGAGGTATTAGATCTCTCTTCTCTCATTCTCAAAACAAAATGATGTTCAGATTAATTTCAGATAAGTCAGTGCCTAAAATTTCAGGATAGAGAGTTAAGAGTACATTAATGAGGGCATTTATTAGATACTGTCTTTATATCCCATGAATTTTAGAAACAGATTGGTTCTTGTGGAAATTCTTCTAAATTCTTTATTTTCATATAATAAAGTAGATTACTTCATTCAATGAAAATGTTGTGGGCACTTTACATCAAACAGGACCATAGGATAATCAGATCATGATTCCAACTTATAAATTTTATATCATTTTAAATTTAATCTAATTATTGTTTTTAATATTGAATCACCTATACTAGATTATTTTTATTTTAAAAACTAATATAGAAAATACCAATATTAGATATTTTATTCTATAAGAAATAGATTTTTTTAATTCATTTTATATTGATCAAATTAATGAAGAATTAATTTATTATTTTGGTATTAATCTTGAAGTTTAAATGAACTTTTCATTTTAGTTAAATAATTTATTTGTTTTATTATGAAATAGAATGATCATGTATTTTATTTATTATGCTAAATTAATGTAATAAAACTTAAATTGTTATTATATTATTAATTATTAGGATTTCATTTCATATTAAATTGCATCATTATAATCTCGAAAGTTGAAAATTAAGGACTTTATTAATTGTTGGTCTTTTTTAATTGTTTTCAATAATTTATTTTTAATCCTTATATTTATGGATTTGTATTATGAATTAAATGAAGTGATTTAAAAGGGCTAATTAAATCTTTTTTATTGAATTATCCACAAATTATTTCAAATCTTTAATTTTTTTATAAATCTAATATAACTGTGCTATTTATTGGATTTCATGCCATTTTATGAATATTCAATTACAAAATATGACTAAATTTGAGCACTTTTCTTAGAAAACATTGGAATAAGAAAAGATAGAAAATATCTTATTGTCTCAAAATTTATATAAATAATCAATCTATGTTTGAATTATGATGACTTTATTTTAATTAAACAATTAATATATGAGATTTAATACATATAATAAATAGGTTTCGACTGTGGGTTAATTATGATGACTTTGTTGTTATCATAAAAAATAATTGCAAGATTAGCAGCTGCTTTTTGAATTATTTATTATTTCTCTTAACATTCTTATATAATTAATTTCTTAAAATATAAATGATGAACAAATATTTGATTTTTCTATTTTAGAAGTAAGTTATTTTATTACTATATATTATAACCTTCAAAGATTTTATGAACAGATTCAAAATTGTACATATATATATTTTTAATTTTGATATTATTTATATATCTATGAATTGAATTTTAATCTTAACCCTAAATATTATAAATACTATATGGTATGGATTTGATTTAATGTTAGATTAATACTCCCATTCCTGAAAATTTGTATTCATTTTTATTTTCATTAACATAATTGAGAAAGTTAGTATGAATATGAATTTAATTATTTTAATCTTTTTCCGAATTTCTAATAATTGCATCAAATAATTTTAATTTTTTTTTGATTTATTTTTCAATATTTAAGTTTTACATCAAAGTTTTACTGAATTTATTCCATTTAATATTATAAAAGATAAAGAAAAATGAAATATAAACTTATTAGTTATTATAAATAATTTTACCTTATTATCAACAAATTATCAAGATTTTGAGATTAAAAGTTATAAAATTAAAAAAAAATTTACATAATAATCATATAATGGTCATGTCTAAGAAATAAATGGAAAATAAGAACCCTTATGTATCTTTAAAATTGATTTCCTACTTTGATAAGCTAAAACATAATGAAGTATACTCTTAAATTAAGTGGGGTTATTTATTAAAATGTTATAAACAATCTCTTTATTTTGAATCTAACTCTTGATTTATTCTCCTAATCAATTTGGAAATTGGGGGAAATTCAAATCACAGTTAAAAAACAATTAAATTTATATAAATTTAAGAAATGTAATAGATAATAAAGTTTAAGTCTAGCATTTTTATTTAAAAAAAAATACTAATATTTAACCAAAATCAATTGTAGACATAAAATAATTGACTGAAAAATTATAATTAATAATGATTAATTAACTCAATTTTCATTTTATATAATTATTATTATCTAACAAATTTTTAAATTTTCAAGTTCCTATTTTTTAAATTACAATAATATTTTTTCATATTTTAATTGATAAATTAATAGAACTTATAAATAAAATTTGTATTGAACATAAAGGTCATAAAATTAATCAAATTTCAAGAAATTTGTTTAAATACTTCTCTTCCATAATTATCTCAAATATTTGATCCAATGTTTTCATATTTAATTAAAATTTCTTATAATGTTGCATTGGATATGGACCTTTGTTTGGTGAATCTCCTATTTTATCAGTAAATAGAGTATTAGGCATAATCAAATAAAAAGGGGAATATATTAATAAAACTTAGCTTTTTTCAATATCAAGGAATACACATTTCCTAAAATGTTTCTTCTGGGAGTGTCTTTATAGATTTCCGAGATTATGCTAAAATATAAATGTTTATATATATATACATGCTTAAGTTAACCACAATATTCTGGGCACATTTTTTTGAAACATATAAGACAAATATATTATCCTTGAAATTTAGTTTCTAATTTTAATTTAGGAAATTAACAATTTTTCTTTTAACAAGGAAGTAAATAATTCTAATCTAAAAATGAACCATAATTATTTGTTAAGACATTAAATCTTTCTTTTTTGAATTAATCCTTAATTATTTAAATGTCATAAGGTAATAATCTATTATTAATTTATATATTAATTTTTCTTTATGTAAATACTTCAAATAATTATTAAGCCAATTCAAAGTTTGGATTTAGTAATATTGAAAGCTTTTACTAAAAATTATAAATATTATGCTCTTTTATTAGATGAGTGTAAATTAATTTTAAAATTTGAAATAACATTTCAGTTTCATTTAATTTAATATTTTCAATTAGATTAGAAACTGAATTTTTATATAATGATCTCATCTAATCTATAATTTTTTATATAAATAGATGTTGATTCTTTTAAATAAAATTCTGTAAATCACTCAATAATTAGAATGTTAAATTACATAATATTTAAGATAAAATTATATCTAGAAATTAATAACCATCAAATTCCTAATTGTCAAAATTTTTCTCAAAAATTTCTATATTGTTGTTGAAGAGTGATTCTAAGAAAGTTTCAATTGAAAATTAAAATTGTTAAATTTCTATATTTTAACTTTTATTTGAATTTGGTAACATGAAATTATAAGGAGAATGACAAAAAGGGCATTAAAAAAATTTTAGATTCTTATCATTAAAAGTATTGATTTATTATTTCAAACATTCAGCATGAAAAATATGATTACAATTTGAAACATGTACTGATAAAATATTGATTTCTTTAGTAGGTTAAATTTAAAAAATATGTAAATATTAATAGATATTTGTGTATTAAATTAAAATTGGTAAGTATTATTGATCCTCTTTTTCAAATGGTAATTTACATAATAAACATTTTTCATCAATTTCTTCTATAGGTTATTCATTATTATTAATCTTGTTATTAAAATTATTCTTCATTTAATTGAATTTTAATTGTAATTATTATTTATATTATTGATGCTTTTAAGATTTAGATTATTATTATTCATGATGATTGACTTCATCAAATTTTTAAATTAAGTTCTAATTTTCTAATCTTGAGCAGTAGACTTGAAAAAAGTACTTTTATGTATTATTAATTTTTTAATTTGATAAAATTGTTTAGCAATAATGTAAAATTTTATCCAATCTTTATTAAATGATAATATTAGAGGATTTAAAAAATGAATTAGATAAAATTAACAAATTAATATATACGGCATTTTCTTGTAAAATCTTAATTGATTGATTTACTATAATATTATATTCCAAATTTGATTAAAAAGTATTTTACAAATCATTTAAAATGCTATTTAGTAAATACTATTAATTATCATTTGATATTGCTTTAAGTATTTCATATCTAATATTAGTAAGAGTTGATTTATCTGTATTATAATATTATAATTCATATTATAATGAGGATCCAAACAATTCAGCAAATTTATCATTCTACATTTATAATTTATCATTAATTTTGTCTTTAATTTCTTAATTTTATGAAGCATAAATTGGTTCATAAATAGGTAATTTAATTTCTTTTTTTAATTACAATTAACCATTATCTTAATTTCTTTCACAAGAATACAAAATCAAACTTTCAAAATCTTTAAAACTTTCATTAATAAATGATTTAAGTATACTCTTCATTTCATTCAATTAATAAAATGTTTAAGAATAAAATATTGTTTAAAATAATTTATGCAATCCTTTTTATAATTAAATATTTAATTAATTTCCAATAATGTTTCCAACACATTATATTAAATCGTTATCTGTTTAAGCAATTGTACAAATTAACAAACTTGAATTTCTGTTTTATTTAAGATGGGATGCTATTTCAATATAAAACTAAATAATGTCATTGATTCCTTATTCTTAAAATAGAAAAGCATAAATTTAGATATAGGCTAAATCAACCTTTTAAAGGGATACTTCATCTTCTAAATCCTTCAATAAGTTTTATTTCCCTTAGTAGTAAATGTTATCTAAAACAATCAAATAATTTAAAATAGCCCTTTTTAATATATGAGCCATAATTAATCTTAATTATTTACTATTTTATCCACTAATCTCTAGTATATCATCATATGCTTATTTAGAATTTGAAAAATTCATTAAGTATATAGATAAAACAGTTATAAAATTTCTATCACTTAAGACTAAATTAGATAAGATTAATTGCAGTGGAGATTAATATTTTAAATTGAATACTGTTACTAAACTATTTAGGTAATAATGTAAGATTATTCTTTATATATTTTAAACTTCATATGAAGTTAAATCCCCAATAGCTAACATCATAGATTTTAAATCACATCTAAATGAGGATAAATTTGTTATTAATAGAATTAATAAATAATTTGTAGATAATTCATCCTCTTCATTTAGATGAAATTCTAAATTTGATTTGTTCATTTGCTAACATGGATTTCTCCTAGTTAATGAATAAATCAATAATGATTAATTTAATAATTTCTAAAATCCTTAAGAATTTGGATTTAATATTTGAGATTAAAAGGAATGAATATCTATTGAAAGGATTTCGTGAATCTAATTAACTAATCCCTTAAGACCTTTTTTACATCTACCCATCATTTCTAAAAAACAACAAATAGTTTCAGTAAATTCCAAAGAAGCATAATTAGTTAATTGACTAAATTATTAATCATTATTACATTTTTAAGAGCATATCTGAGATATTATCAAATAGATTATAGCATATTGGAGTTTTGATATTTTAGTATAACTTCAGAATTTCAATGTAGCCTCTTTAAATAAAAAAATAAAACTTTTCTGCAATTTTACTCTTAATTATTATATTTTCAGACAAAATTTATTAGATTTAATTACAAGCAAGTATTTGCTAAATTAAAATAGCTAATTTTTAATCATTAATTTCCTAATATATTTAAAATTAGAATTCTTCGTTTTTAATTGTAGTTAATTTGTAAGAATGAATTAGAAGATACAATCTCTAAAAGTTTTATATAACAATTTTAACAAGATGTGTTCTAAATTCATCCTCTTAAAAGAATAAAGGAAAAAAGATTGAAATATCTTATTCAAACTTGAGTGATCCAAATAAATGTGCACTATATTTAATATAATACTCCAATAGTGAACTTGATCCAATTGTATTATTTTGTATTTTACATTTAAACTCCTATTTTAAGATTTTAGCTGTTAAAGAACTCCAGACTATATTATCAGTTGTTATAATTTCTAAACATTTCAATATTAATTTATGAATTTATTTTGCTTAATTTATAGAATCCTAAATTAATTAGAAATGAATTTTATGAGAATTTAAATAATTCTTCAAAATATCATCATTAAGACTTTCAATTATATTTTCTATATTCTTTAATAAATCATTAGGATAATCAACTATTAATTCAAATTTCTTTTATAATAATCCAAAGGCAATCATTAGAAATTTTTCATATTTTTTAATAACTTTATCATCTAATATCAATAATTTTAATTACAACCTAATTAAACATTCTTAAACTTTTGTTAAAAATGATTATGTTAAGGACATATTGAACCAGTTTCAAAAATCATTGTATCACCGCAATCACAATATCCTGGCATTTCAGATTGAATTTACTCTAAAAATACAGCATGATCTATAATTATAATATTGAATTTACTTTTATGATTTTTAGGAATGAAGCACTCTCTACAAATGGCTTGATTAATATCTTTACTGCAATCAAAGCATTAGTAAAACATTTCTGATTCTTCAATAATATTGGCACATAAATTTTTTTATCCATAACCTTTTAATTTTACAATTGTATTCATGTATTCATCTGATGTGATATTTAGAATAGCTAATATTAGTTCTTCATCCTCATAATCATCAATATCATTTGAAACTTTTAAAATATAATCTTCTCCACTTAAGATTTCCATTATCTTATTATAATATTTGATTATTTATAAAACAGCTATAAAAATTTTCTTAATTAAGAAACTCATCATTTTTTTAGAATATCTAATGAATTTTAATCTTATGTTAAAGNCTGCAATTTTACTCTTAATTATTATATTTTCAGACAAAATTTATTAGATTTAATTACAAGCAAGTATTTGCTAAATTAAAATAGCTAATTTTTAATCATTAATTTCCTAATATATTTAAAATTAGAATTCTTCGTTTTTAATTGTAGTTAATTTGTAAGAATGAATTAGAAGATACAATCTCTAAAAGTTTTATATAACAATTTTAACAAGATGTGTTCTAAATTCATCCTCTTAAAAGAATAAAGGAAAAAAGATTGAAATATCTTATTCAAACTTGAGTGATCCAAATAAATGTGCACTATATTTAATATAATACTCCAATAGTGAACTTGATCCAATTGTATTATTTTGTATTTTACATTTAAACTCCTATTTTAAGATTTTAGCTGTTAAAGAACTCCAGACTATATTATCAGTTGTTATAATTTCTAAACATTTCAATATTAATTTATGAATTTATTTTGCTTAATTTATAGAATCCTAAATTAATTAGAAATGAATTTTATGAGAATTTAAATAATTCTTCAAAATATCATCATTAAGACTTTCAATTATATTTTCTATATTCTTTAATAAATCATTAGGATAATCAACTATTAATTCAAATTTCTTTTATAATAATCCAAAGGCAATCATTAGAAATTTTTCATATTTTTTAATAACTTTATCATCTAATATCAATAATTTTAATTACAACCTAATTAAACATTCTTAAACTTTTGTTAAAAATGATTATGTTAAGGACATATTGAACCAGTTTCAAAAATCATTGTATCACCGCAATCACAATATCCTGGCATTTCAGATTGAATTTACTCTAAAAATACAGCATGATCTATAATTATAATATTGAATTTACTTTTATGATTTTTAGGAATGAAGCACTCTCTACAAATGGCTTGATTAATATCTTTACTGCAATCAAAGCATTAGTAAAACATTTCTGATTCTTCAATAATATTGGCACATAAATTTTTTTATCCATAACCTTTTAATTTTACAATTGTATTCATGTATTCATCTGATGTGATATTTAGAATAGCTAATATTAGTTCTTCATCCTCATAATCATCAATATCATTTGAAACTTTTAAAATATAATCTTCTCCACTTAAGATTTCCATTATCTTATTATAATATTTGATTATTTATAAAACAGCTATAAAAATTTTCTTAATTAAGAAACTCATCATTTTTTTAGAATATCTAATGAATTTTAATCTTATGTTAAAGTAATTCATTTTCACATTATTTAAATTCTTATTGATATTTACATCTTAGAATTCGAAGTATTTTTTTTATTTTTAGATGGTTATTTATTTTAATAATTATTCTATATCTTATTATCCATTTTCCTATAATTAATACCATTAGTATATTAGATATGTAATAATTCCTGTCCTTTTAATGTAAGTATTACATTATAAATAATTGAATTATATTTCTCAAATCTTATTGATATTATTATTTTTCAAAGTCTAATTTCATCAATTACTTTTCAATAAACACATATTTTTAAAATACTTTAAATAAATAAGGATCAAATTTTAAGGTATCCTAAATAAATTATATCCTAGATTGATAAATTTGATTCATTTATTATCAATTTTTAATAAAAGATGTAAAACCAGATCTATATCTTTAACATTAAATAATGATTGAATTAAGAAATGATTTATATTTAAATTATATCTTAAAAATTACTAATATAAATTAAAACTTTTAAGCAATTTTTTGTTTTTAAACAATAAATAAATATTAAAAATATTAATATATATTTTTTTTCAATTAGAAAATATAAATATCATGCATTAGACTCTATATAAAGGTTAAAACAATAATTTATATTTCAAAATCTATCCTTAATTATAAATACAATGGATTAATATTCAAAATTTTCTAATTATCAAAAAATTATTAGAATTATTGGTAATATTAATCCCATTTATCACAATCTTCCCATTTCTATTATTATAGGTTATAAATATTTCAAAAAATAAGACTGTCAAAGCCACTTTAGGTAAGGTTAGTTAATTGTAGAATAATTAAATTTGATGATGCATATTGTTTAATAATTAGTTTAGTTTATAAAAGAAATGACTTAAGATCGATTATTACTATTAGAAAATTTTGTTATTAAATATATTCGATTTGTATGAAATAAAATTAATTTCTATTTTCCCCCTATTTCTATTATTTATTTTTTTACTAATTTTTGACTAATAACTGCTTAAAGATACATATATATCTCATCCTTCTTTTTTATATTGATATATTATTTGTATTTGGATTTGGTGAACATATTTAATATTCTGTTCAAAAAATCACAATAAATGATGTTATTTTGAAAAAAATAAAGAAGATAATCGATGATTAAAAAAAGAGAATAGTATTTAATCACATGATTTTATTGACACTAAACTTAAAGAAAAAACCTAAAAAATATCAAATTTGCAACCTCTACACTCTCAAAAATCGATTGAAATATTACATACATTCCCTCATTGTCATTATTAAATTAGCAGAAAGACTCAGAGACTTATGATGAAGATAAACCTTACTTGGCTCAATTTAAAACTTTTTACAATTCCTCTTTATTTGGATTCTAGTTTTTACTGCAAGTGTAACAAAGAAATTGTTGCTCAAAATAAAATAAACATTTTTATATAAATATATCTATTTTAAAGTAAATATTTCAATATACTTTATTTAAAATCAAATTGTCTTAATGTTAAATACTCCTGAAAAAAAGGTGCTCATTATACAATACTAGATTATCCTTGAATATCTTGATATTATAATAAAAATATTAATTAAAATAAATAGATTTTTTTTAATTTATAGTTTATGCAATATTTATTAATAATAGTCATGTAAACAAAGGATTATTTACAATTTATGATTATCTTATGAATTTCTGTTTTAATTATTTTAATAAATCTTTGCAAATCCAAATTAGTTCTATAATTATACCTTAAGATAGTATGATTGCTTAAATCCATCCCAATAAAATTTTTTTCTGTTCATTAAAATATTCATTACACTCTTAGATGTATAAGAATGAACTAAGGATAAAAGTTAATACTGATATCTCAACAACCATTTAAACGATATAATTTTTTTTATTAAAAATAAAACGATAATTAAATATTTATCTAATCTAAAATAGGCTTGTCATAAGGAGTAATCCTAATTAAAGTATTTGGGAACTTTAAATATAAATCAAAAATAATAAAAAGAAAAATTATCGACCAAAATTTAGTATTTCAAACCTTTAGTAGCTGTTCTTCTTTGATAATTAGTATTTACCTTTAAAAAAATTTAGGAAAATGTTAAAATAGAGGACAAGTATTATGCTTGCGATCATAATTTCTACAATATCTATGTAATTCTTGGTTTAAATTGTTCTTGTATACAACAATGTTTTAAATATCATATCCCACCCATTTAGATATAAGGCTTTTTATAATCCTTAAAAAGACATAAATTTTTTCAATTTAAGTAATCTCATGCAAATGTTATAAAAGGTTTAATTACACTTAAAAATTACATTAGGATTTATATATAATGATAATGATGACATATAGTAAAAGCACCTTGAACAATATATCTATTTGTACAAAACCTTTTTAATCCATTAAAATAAAAAAATATAGAATAAAAATATCAACAATTAAAATATTTGGCATGAAAGATTAATTATCAAGCTAGAACTTTATTTATACACATTAAATTTCCCATCACAATATTCTTAATTTTATTAAATATCAATAAACTGTAAAAGTTGAGGAAAATAGATAAAATCCAGGAGAGGTTGAAGAGTTATCATATCATTAACAGAAAAATATATCTCTATATTTTCTGGATATTACAGATTAATGTATCTTAAGTATTGCTAGAATTAAAGAATCGCCATAATTTCAACAAATAACTCCCCGCTTCCTAATAGTAAACTTAAACCTGTAATTCCAAATAAACTGTAAATTATACATTTATTAAGACTTTTTAAATTTTCTGAATAGAACTTCTGTTTTCCATTAAGAAATTTTGGATATTGCAAAGTTATTGATTTTTCAACATCATTCAAAACAGCATCATCTATATTAACAACAGTCTAATTTACTTTAATTTTCAAGACTGGCCTAAATTCAAGTAATTATTATATTTCTATTTAGACAATAAATTCTCCAAAACTTACATCTGATCCAACATCCTATATAATATATAAGTGACTATTCCAGTTCTTCTTTTCTATATTTGATATTTCAAAATTTATAGTTTCTGATAATGGTTAAGCTGTTTAAATTTTTACTTTTTAATTAAATTAGATACTTATATACTATTTATTTTAAGTAATATTCAGATAATTAATTAATAAATTTGGAGCTTTGATAAATGAGCATTAGCTTAGAGAATCTGTTGTTATTGTCATGCATACCCAATTTTATTCAATTAAACAATCCTTGCATCCATCCGTTGCTAAAAAATTTCCATCATCACAATCCTCTTATTCCTAAAGCAATCCATCTCCACAATCTAATTATTATTTGCATTGATTTGAAATTAGTAATTAATATTGGTAATTGCATTTTAAACAGGTACCTTAATAGCAATCAAAGCAATTTTCTGGACAAGAATACCTTCAATTAAAACAACCATCAAATATGATTGTATTTCCATCATCACAATCCTCTTCTTTTGTGATTATTTGATCACCACAAACAGAAAGACAACCATTATTAGCAAATTCATATCCTATTTCACATTTCAAAATGCACTATCCTCTTTCACAAATGTTGCAATCTTCAATGCATTGAAACTTACATTCAAAACAACCATCATAAGGTTACAAATTACCATCATCACAATCCTCATATTATTCCAGAATCAATTTATCTCCACAATAAGGGAAACATATGTTTCCCAATTTTTAATATCCCACTTCACACTCTAAGCAAATTGAAAGATAGTCTGTTTTACAATTTGCAATTGATATAAATCTGCATTCCTAACAATTATCCGATTCCCCATTAACGGTCAGTTCACATTATTCAGTTGAATAAGGAATTAAATTACCATCTCCACATAAAGGATCACAATTAAAATTATCATTAATGAAAAATCCATCTTAACATTGTAGACAAATTCCAAATTAACATATTGAACAAAATTGTATACATGAATATTTGCATAAAGTACAAGATTCGTTTGATATTAGATTACCATCATCACATTCTTCTTAACCTTGAATGAGCCCATCACCACAAATTGGATGACAATTTTCAAGCAATTCATCTTAAATCCAACCTTCTTTGCAAATTAGACATTGACCATAAATTTACTCTAAACAACCTTCATTCAATTTATAAAACATTATTACTGGTTAAGTGTAAAATACTTCAAAATCTCTTATATAACAATCTTCCTCAGCCATTTAGGTTTTAATATTTAATAATAATATAGGATCATCATGATTTCTTATTAATATTTCTATTAATTAATAACCAGAACTAATTGTTTTTTTACCATATAAATAATCTACTATTATTATAGCATTAAAATATTTAAAAAATCGTATTACTACATCTTAATGAGGAGGTAATTGAGTAGAATATTTAATTTCTTTAAATCTCAAAAATTGGCAATTTCCACATTAGAAATAAGTTGGATAATTATGTTCAGATACAAAAGTCCATCCATCAGAGTTTGTGATCAATTTTTTATTAAATTAATATTAATGCAGTTTCCATTATAAGTAAATTGTATGATAATACTCTATGCATCCAGCTTATTCAAACTTACATTTTATGATATTTAGTCTTAATGATCTCAATCCTCCTCCAATATAGGTAGAAATATAGATCCCAACAGTTCTTCTATGATGCTATAGAGTTATAGAAATAGTATGTAAATATCCTGGTTGTGTATTATCAAAAAGTTAAGATGATATCATTGTCTATTAATTTATTGGATATCTATCTATTTCAAAATAAGGTGAATTATTTTAATCAATACTTTTATCATAAAGAATATCATTACGTAAGAAATTCTGCATTCATATTTATATGAGAATGAGATTCTAGATCAATAAATATTCTGCTAATGTAAATTGGACTACTACTAGGTTTCCCAAAATATTGAATCCCTCCAAAATTATAGAATTGGACATTATTAATTAAATCTTGCCATCCTAAAATATAATAATAAGAAATTACCATCTCTTATGTTAGAAATTGCATCAAACTAATAAATAAGAGTTTGATGAGTTGAATACAGAAAAAAAATGAGTAATATCATTATTAAAAAATATAATAATACAATAATGAATTATATTATTTAAACAGATAAAAAGGAAGAATATAGATTGATAATTAAATTCGTTATTATCAATATTCTTTACTATTGATCTATAAATATATAAATAAACTCTCTTTATTATGATAAAAAAGAAATATATCTATCTAATATTAGTAATTTGATTGAATAAATTCATTTTTTTGATAATCAACAATTTGGAATGTCTAAAAATTAAAATATTATTTTAATTATTGGAATTAACAATATTTTTTCAATTTAATTATTAGATTTATTTAAATAGTTTATTGTTTATTTTTATAATGATTCTAAAACATGATTTTATAAAAAATACAATTGTTATATCCTATTCCATTATTAAATAACATGGCATTTAGTTCCATTATTAATAAAAAATTATAGATTTCTGGATTAATGTTTCGATTGTAGCTAAAAAATAGTAAGGAATAATTATTATTATTGTTGAAACGATTTAATTAAGTCTAATTCAAAATTTTGAAGAATTTTTTTGCTTCCATCAATTATTGTAGTAAAAGGGATATAGAATATAAAAATTAAAAAAGCAATTTATGTTGCCTCTTTAAGATTAAACTTAACATGATGGAGGTGAATTTTTATTTTCTGTTATGAACTATTCAACTCATAAAAGTAATATCATAGAATTTATTTTCTCTGATATAAATAAAATTAACTAAATTTCCAAGATTTATTTTCATAAATTAATTTCTTTAAATTTAAGGTTGCTAATGAAAATATAAATAATTATGAAAAATAAATAGTTAGTATATTTGAATAAATTCATATGGATAATGAAGAATCAGATTTATTAGAAAGTAATCTTTTAGGTGGCAATTAAGTGGTAGTATGAAATATTTAATCATAAGTTCGATAAGATCTATAAATTATTTTAAATTCTAAAAAATAGCTGTTTAATTTAGAATTACGTTTAGGAAATAAAAATTAAATGGTTTAATGTGAGAGACAAAATTATAAGAATTAAAATTAAATACATTAATTATATTTTACACTTATAGGCTGGATTTTATTATTGGCAAAATTAAATCGCATACAGGATAGTTTAAGTTATTATTGGTTATTTCATTTAGAATTTATTTCAAGCAAAAAAGTGTCGAAGTCAATTAATTAACATTGAATTGTAATTATCTTTAATTAATGAGAATGATTTTTTTTCACTCCTTTATTAATTCCTTGAATTTTATTAAAAAAAGCCTTTTAAAATCTCCATTCTGTGTCTTTAATAAATATTAATTAGGAATATAAAATAAATCATTTGTAATTTAAGTGTTACAATAAAATATATCTTCTTCAAAGAAGTTTAGAGATTTAATACCTGAAGATTGAATTAATTATTCAAAATTTAAAAATGTTTCAATCCTTTCATAAATCAAATGAGAAATTAGTGATTGAAAGTATTATAAAAAGGACTAAAATATTAAGTTAAGGTATTCATTTAATATTTTATTCTTAAAAGCTTAATTTCTTTTAATAAGAGTTCGNTTATGATAAAAAAGAAATATATCTATCTAATATTAGTAATTTGATTGAATAAATTCATTTTTTTGATAATCAACAATTTGGAATGTCTAAAAATTAAAATATTATTTTAATTATTGGAATTAACAATATTTTTTCAATTTAATTATTAGATTTATTTAAATAGTTTATTGTTTATTTTTATAATGATTCTAAAACATGATTTTATAAAAAATACAATTGTTATATCCTATTCCATTATTAAATAACATGGCATTTAGTTCCATTATTAATAAAAAATTATAGATTTCTGGATTAATGTTTCGATTGTAGCTAAAAAATAGTAAGGAATAATTATTATTATTGTTGAAACGATTTAATTAAGTCTAATTCAAAATTTTGAAGAATTTTTTTGCTTCCATCAATTATTGTAGTAAAAGGGATATAGAATATAAAAATTAAAAAAGCAATTTATGTTGCCTCTTTAAGATTAAACTTAACATGATGGAGGTGAATTTTTATTTTCTGTTATGAACTATTCAACTCATAAAAGTAATATCATAGAATTTATTTTCTCTGATATAAATAAAATTAACTAAATTTCCAAGATTTATTTTCATAAATTAATTTCTTTAAATTTAAGGTTGCTAATGAAAATATAAATAATTATGAAAAATAAATAGTTAGTATATTTGAATAAATTCATATGGATAATGAAGAATCAGATTTATTAGAAAGTAATCTTTTAGGTGGCAATTAAGTGGTAGTATGAAATATTTAATCATAAGTTCGATAAGATCTATAAATTATTTTAAATTCTAAAAAATAGCTGTTTAATTTAGAATTACGTTTAGGAAATAAAAATTAAATGGTTTAATGTGAGAGACAAAATTATAAGAATTAAAATTAAATACATTAATTATATTTTACACTTATAGGCTGGATTTTATTATTGGCAAAATTAAATCGCATACAGGATAGTTTAAGTTATTATTGGTTATTTCATTTAGAATTTATTTCAAGCAAAAAAGTGTCGAAGTCAATTAATTAACATTGAATTGTAATTATCTTTAATTAATGAGAATGATTTTTTTTCACTCCTTTATTAATTCCTTGAATTTTATTAAAAAAAGCCTTTTAAAATCTCCATTCTGTGTCTTTAATAAATATTAATTAGGAATATAAAATAAATCATTTGTAATTTAAGTGTTACAATAAAATATATCTTCTTCAAAGAAGTTTAGAGATTTAATACCTGAAGATTGAATTAATTATTCAAAATTTAAAAATGTTTCAATCCTTTCATAAATCAAATGAGAAATTAGTGATTGAAAGTATTATAAAAAGGACTAAAATATTAAGTTAAGGTATTCATTTAATATTTTATTCTTAAAAGCTTAATTTCTTTTAATAAGAGTTCGATGAGAAGATTTTAATAATATTTTTCTTATTTATTTTATATTGTTATTCAAATTCAGTTAGTAAATTTAATTATAAAAATTATATATTATGCTTTTATTTATTAGACATGGAGAAAGAGCAGATATGGTTGATAATCCAGATGAAAGGAAAAAGGTTTTGTTAAAATTTGATCCTCCTCTTACAGAAAAAGGAGAGTATTAAGCTAGAATAACAGGATAACAATTANTTATGATAAAAAAGAAATATATCTATCTAATATTAGTAATTTGATTGAATAAATTCATTTTTTTGATAATCAACAATTTGGAATGTCTAAAAATTAAAATATTATTTTAATTATTGGAATTAACAATATTTTTTCAATTTAATTATTAGATTTATTTAAATAGTTTATTGTTTATTTTTATAATGATTCTAAAACATGATTTTATAAAAAATACAATTGTTATATCCTATTCCATTATTAAATAACATGGCATTTAGTTCCATTATTAATAAAAAATTATAGATTTCTGGATTAATGTTTCGATTGTAGCTAAAAAATAGTAAGGAATAATTATTATTATTGTTGAAACGATTTAATTAAGTCTAATTCAAAATTTTGAAGAATTTTTTTGCTTCCATCAATTATTGTAGTAAAAGGGATATAGAATATAAAAATTAAAAAAGCAATTTATGTTGCCTCTTTAAGATTAAACTTAACATGATGGAGGTGAATTTTTATTTTCTGTTATGAACTATTCAACTCATAAAAGTAATATCATAGAATTTATTTTCTCTGATATAAATAAAATTAACTAAATTTCCAAGATTTATTTTCATAAATTAATTTCTTTAAATTTAAGGTTGCTAATGAAAATATAAATAATTATGAAAAATAAATAGTTAGTATATTTGAATAAATTCATATGGATAATGAAGAATCAGATTTATTAGAAAGTAATCTTTTAGGTGGCAATTAAGTGGTAGTATGAAATATTTAATCATAAGTTCGATAAGATCTATAAATTATTTTAAATTCTAAAAAATAGCTGTTTAATTTAGAATTACGTTTAGGAAATAAAAATTAAATGGTTTAATGTGAGAGACAAAATTATAAGAATTAAAATTAAATACATTAATTATATTTTACACTTATAGGCTGGATTTTATTATTGGCAAAATTAAATCGCATACAGGATAGTTTAAGTTATTATTGGTTAT